CCAAAGCTTGTGTGAATTTTGCCAAGGATGGAGCTAATCAGCTTGCCACCTTTCCCTTCTGCATTTGTTATTTTCATTTCCTTTATTATACCTAAAATGTAGACAATATTCTACATAATAGATAATAAATCCTTCTTTGATGTAAAACCTGAGGAAAAAAATAAAAGCCTGTCCAGGCAAGGGTCGATGCACTCTCCTCTTGAGAGACTGGCTGTGCCATCCCTTTTTCTCCAAAGGATAGCTGTAGCCTGTGCACCGTTTTCATGTTCAATCACAACAGGCAAACTCTTCGGGTCAGAGTCTGCCACACCTGAAGTTGTCCCAGAAGCTTCTTATACTACGCTAATTTTTTTTGGATTTTCTGTTCTAATTGGGTGTTTTTTGCTCCTTATATTCAAAATTGCTGATGTGATTCTCAGCTTCATCTGTTCTACTGATTCCCTGTAAATTTTTCATTTCAGTTAGTGCATTCTTCTTTTCAGACTAGTTCTTTTTTATGCTCTTGAGGTTCTTGCTAAGTTCAGTATTGTTACAGCCAGTGTTTTAAATTCTACATCTAGCAGATTGCTTGTCTTCATTTTGTTAACTTATTTTTCTGGAGTTCTGTTCTTCCATTTGAATGTCTCATTTTAGCAGCCTTCCAGTATTCATTTCTACATATTAGGTTGAGTTGTTATGTTTCTCAAGCTTTGTAGAGTAGCCTAGTATAGTAGATATTCTCTAGGATCAAGTGGCATAGACTCCCTAATCACCCATGCTGGGACTTGAGGTGTATTCCTTTAGCCCTGAATGCTTTGGCACATCAATGCGAGGGATTTACCCTCAGGCCAATCACCTGCCAAGAACTGGCAGTGACCACTGACCACCACGGAGGACTAGCTGTGCAGGTCCCCACCCCAGAGAGCCAGACTTACTTCAGCAGGGCTCCAGTGCCCGCTGAGTCTACCCCTTAAGCGTGTCACTTGTTGAGGTGGTTCAGTGGTGATGCTTCAACAGGTTGTGAAGCTATCTACTAGGTGTGCTGGCCTCCTGGGAGGTGCAGGCAAAGGTCAGCAACTGACTCTATTTTGTGCAGGTCCACCTGGCATAAGCTACAAACCAATCCACAGCTGGCTGCTATTTGTGCTGGGCTTGGAGGTGCCCAGGGAAGACCAAGCTGTGAGGGAAGGCTGGCTGCCACTTGTGCCAGGACATGAGATGTATAGGGCATGCTAAGGCCCAGATACTGCTTGCTTTAAAGATCTTTAGGAAAATCTGAAGCATAAGCTAGGACAAGTCATTTACATGGAAAAGGCACTGGAAACAGCTTCGGTGGATCTGAAAGTTGGATGGGGTAGGGCCTCAGGAAATCACCAGAGCAGGGCTGTGTGACCCAGGCTTATGGAGTTTCAAAGATGTTGCCTGCTATGAGAGGAGGGCTCAACTGTCAGCACTTCTGTCTGGGAGAAAGTGCCCCTCTAGCTCTCATCTTGATGTCAGACAATTGTTTCTTTCTGTATGTCCCTGGTGTTTTTCAAGCTACTGCCCCAGCATAGCAGCTCAAAGAGAATGAGTTTGAGTAATTCCATGCATGGGCCCTTTAACAGGAATGGCCTGGAACTTCAGAAGCTCTCTGTCTCCCTCACCCTTAACCTTCACTGGTGTTCACAGCCAGAAGTTATGGGGACTTGTCTTCCTGACACTGGAACCCTGATCTGAGGGTGGGGCCTGGTATGGAGCTAGGACCCTTCCCTTGTCAGGAAGAACATCTGCAGCTGAGATATCCCTCCTGATTTTTATCTGTCACAGGTGATTGTGGGACCCACCCATTCTATGTCTCTGCCCCTCCTAACAGTCTCAGTGATGTGGTTTCCTCAATTCTGTAGTTGTAGGACTTCCATTCAACAAGATTTCAGGTGGTTCTGAATGATGGTTGTTCTGTACTTTAGTTGTAGTTTTGATGTGCCTGTGGGAGGAGGTAAATACAGGTTCCACCCAATTTGAATAGTGAACAGATTGATGATAATAAGAAATTGGTAGTTTTACTGGTTTTAACATTAGCATGGTAGTTATATTAAAAATAAAATTTCTCATCAATCATAGACATGTACAGAAGAATTTGTAGACAAGGACATGATGTTCAGGATTTGCTCCAAGAAAGTCCAGTTTAAATAAAAGCATGAACGAAGGGGAAGGATTAAGATAGATAAAACAGAATCCCCAAAATGCTGATTAATTGATGGAGCTGGAAGATATAAACATATGGATTTATTATAATTTTTTATTTTTTAATGAAGATTTCCATAATAAAAATATCTACAGAGTTTAAGTATGAAAACAAAGTGACCAATGGAAAAGATGAGCTTATCACCCCCATCACTGATAAAATGATCAAGTGGAGAGGTATGTGTAGGTCCCCAGTAACTGCTACACTGGCAGTAGTAACTGTGTATACTCCTGTAGCATCATGCATTCTGTTAAACACTCTTTATAGAAGAAGATTCCATTTAGTCTTCCAGGTCTCAAGATAGGCAGGTACTATATGTGTTACAGAAAAGGAAAAAGAAATTGAGACAGGCCAAGTAACTTACCCAGGGAGTGCCTTTTATTGCAGGGCTTCAACTTAAAGATTTGGTTAGCTTTGGAGCACATACCCTTAACCTGTAAACTCTACTGTTTTATTCATATAAAATTATATTAAAAGGATATTTTCAGAAAAATAGCTTTGGGCAAAATATAAAATTTATCACACCCCTTTCCCTTCTAATCACACAGTATTTAGTCAAGAAAAAGCAAGACCTGAGCCTTCCGGCCAAGACAGAGGTGTAGGTGGAAACACTGTGCCTCCTCAACCAAAATAAAGGACAACAGAGATTTAGAAACAAAAACAAAACCAGAACAGACAGAAAATTAAACTGTATAGAAGCCTGAACCATTCAACCAGGCTGGTAAGAGTTGCAGAGTCAGTGGCCAGTGGAGAGGGGTTGCAGCAGAAAAAGATGGCGGCTGCCAGACCTGGGAGCGCAGGTGGCATGGGGCTGACCAAGGTCACACATTTGTGCGCAGATAAACTAGGCAAAAATGGGCAGCAAGACAGACCATGAAACCCAGGGCTCCAGCACCAGGAAATAAAGCCTAAAAGTATGGACTGAAAAGGTGCCAAGAGTGACTCCTAGCCTCACAGAATTCACTGGAGACCCACAGGGACCTAGAACATACACAAGCCTACACAGCCAGAACCAGCGTCAGAATGGCACAATTTGCTTGGAGGAAAGCTCCAGAGGGGTCTGAAATCCAAGAGAGAGTGGAGTAAGTGCCATTAGTCCCTCTCTGACCACGCCTCCACACAAAGCATCACAACCCAGCAACTGGGTTGCCCCAGTCTGGTGAACACCTGAGGCTCTGGCACTAATATGTAATAGGAGTGACCTGACCAAAAAATTATGGCTCAAACAGAAGAACAAATCAAAGCCCCAGAGCCACACTTTTAAGTGACCAAGAGATAGCCAACCTATCAGACGCACAGTTCAAACACTGGTGATCAGGATGCTCACTGAACTGGCTAATTCTGGTTGCAAATCACATGAACAAATGAAGGCTGAACTAAGCGAAATGAAGGGAAATGCACAGGGAACCAATAGTGATGGAAAGAAAACTGGGACTCAAATCAATGGAGTGGACCAGAAGGAAGAAACAACCAACCAAACAGAAAAGAATGAAGAAATAAGAATTTAAAAAAATGAGGAGAGGCTTAGGAACCTCCAGGACATCTTCAAACGTTTCAACATCCGAATTACAGGAGCACCAGAATGGGAAAAGGAAGAGCAACAAATGGAAAATTATTTAAAAAAATAATAAAGGAAAACTTCCCCAACCTGGAAAAGGAAATAGACTTCTAGGAGGTCCAGGAAGCTCAGAGAGTCCCAAAGAAGGTGGACCCAAAGAGGTACACACCAAAGCACATCATAAATTAGCCAAGATTAGGATGAAGGAGAGAATTCTAGAAGCAGCAAGAGATAAGGGGACAGTCACCTACAAAGGTGTTTCCATCAGACTGTCAGCTGATTTCTCAAGAGACCTTACAGGCAAGAAGGGGCTGGAAAGAAGTGTTCCAAGTCATGAAAGGCAAGGACCCACATCCAAGACTGATCTATCCAATAAAGCTTTCATTTAGAATGAAATGGCAGATAAAGTGCTTCTCAGTTAAGGTCAAGTTCAAGGAGTTCATCATCACCAAGCCCTTATTATATGAAATGTTAAAGGGACTTATCTAAGAAAAAGATAAAAAATATGAAAAGTGAAAGGACAGCAAACTCACAGTTATTAGCAACCACACCCAACAAAAGCAAACTAAGCAAACAGCTAGATCAGGAGCGGAGCCACAGAAATGGAGATCACATGGAGGGTTATCAACAGGGGAATGGGAGGAGAAGAGGTGGGGAGAAGGTACAGAGAATAAATAGCAATAGACAGTGGGGAGAAAATAGGGGGAGGGCAAGAGTAGTATGGGAAATGTAGAAGCTACAGAACTACTTATGACGCGTGGACATGAACTAAAGTGGGGAATGTGGGCGGGAGGGTGTGTGCAGGGTGGAGGGGAATAAAGGGGGAGGAAATGAGACAACTGTAATGGCATAATCAATAAAATATATTATTAAAAAAAAAAAAAGCAGAAACTTTCTGAAGTCTGATTAATCATGGTGACTACACTACAGTGTGCCTTTGTTAAAACTGCATACCATAAAGAGCAAAATGTAATGTACATAAATTATGAATGGATGAAAACACAGGTTGCTTTTTACAAAGACTAAATGCCCTTAGTCCACCATTTTTTAGAAATCAGCTCAGGGTGAAAAGAAACTGCAGACATATTTTATAAGCCAAAAAGGCTGATCCCATGGCGTAAGAAGAGTGGTGATCAACATACACACATACACACATGAACAGACATGAGGAAAATAACTTAGTGGCCACTGAAATCGACTTCTTATAATTATAATCTCAAGATTTGTATTACTCACCGCGCCAAAGTAAGGAGCTTGATGTACAACCCCAGTGCCTTCTTCTTCCCTCACATAGCTGTCAACAAGCACAGTAAAAGCACCATTCTCTTTACACTGGAAAAGAAAACGTTAGTAGGACTAAAGGATGAAACTGTACCATACCATAATATTAATTTGATAACAGCTTTTAGACCTTGTAAAACTTTTAACATGTGAAATTCTTTTCAGCAACAGAAATAGCAATAATTCATATGGGAAGAAAACATGCTAATTCTATACAGTAGTTCATGAATGATTCAATACTTACAAATGAAATAATTATCTACAGACTTGCAGAGAAAATTTTCTATTTTTTTTTAGTATAACACTGGGCCTTTTGATTAGTTCTCCTAGACTAATTCCCCCACTCCAATCTATCCTAGCACCCAGCATGTCCTTAAACATAGTCTCACAAAATATACTCCTTAAACTATTCCTTCCCAATATATAGCTCACCCTTGAATAATGCAGGGGTTAGAGGCACTGACCCCCATGCAGTGAAAATCTGGGTTTAAATTCTGACTCTGCAATTCACTCTTCCCATCCTTGAATCCAACCTACCATTTTTTTCAATATGCACTTGGGAATGCAAAAAAATATTTTCTATCCCTGGTCGGTTAAATAAAATCCATGTATAAATGTACTGGCATCTTGTTCAAGCATCAACTGTATTTTCAATCACTGCATACACTTAACTTTTCTTTCCACTTCAAGTCCAGTTCAAGTTATTCAGTTGTAAAAGGCAAAACTTGAAAGATGTGGAATGGAGGAGTCAAGAGCTATTATTTCTATCTACAGATATTCTATCCTAAAGTAACCCTGATGGGTAATGTTTCCAATTTTATTTCCTTTGCAATAACAATAAAGGTAGGTTAGTACATATTAGGTTATAGGCCTACTTTTTCCACCGTCATCTCTTAACATTTCATTTCACATACCCTTTGTTTTAGCCCAACTAAAACCCTTTGCTTTCTTATCTGCCTTTGCAAAAAAGTAGTTTCAGAAATGAATTTCACAACTAAAACTATAATCCTGAAAGAAAAAAAAAAAGGCATTAGTACTTCCAAGTTTTAAAGATATTCTAGTTGCATGTGAATTTCACAAGTGAACTCAGAACAAAGATAAAATGGCTTGTGCAAATCACAGAAACAGCAAGTTGGACCTGAAACAAGGTTGTCTTGGGTCCAAATACAGTAGCATTTTCAACTCTTTAATTGTTTGGCACATGCTTAAAACATGAAAAATAACCATAAATTTTTAAATTGCTGTAACCCAAATCACCTGTAAATGTCTTTGGTGTGGTATCGCGGGTACTGTGTCTTCAACAATATAAACATGGAGATAGAATATGTATGTTCTTACAATCAGATGTAGGGAACACAAAGGTACCTATTTATAACTAAAGCGAGAACCTCCACACTGCACTCCTATCTCTGGATCCTGCCTCGCTGAGGCTGAGATTAGTCAGTGGTCACCACAGTACATGCTGTACTCACATACTCTCATAGCTCTCATTTAGTATTTCATAACATGTATATTTTAGGTACACATCAAATGATTTTGTCCTAAGTCAAAGAATTTATAGTATTTGTCTAAAATTTACAGAAGGTTCCAGAAATTTCAGGAAGCTAAGTGAATGGAAGGTCTTATTCGTCTTAACTCTATGTACTAAGTGCATGTTCCAACGACTTAACCCAAAATTCCTATCTAGCGTGTCTATGTACATTTTCTGAGAGGGTTTAGCTTTCCTCAACTTCTCAGTAGAGTCTATAATTCACAAAGTTTATGAATCACTCACCTAGTGGAAGAGTTTTAAGACAAGAACACATACAACATAAAACAAATTAAGATTCATGAGAGAAGAATGTAGTAACAACATTTTTCAGAAGGAGAAACCAAAGAAGCATTTCAGAAACCACTTTTTCAGATGGCATCTAACTTTAGCTTTGAAGAGTGACTTGAACTTGAGCTGGTATGACATTACAGAAAGGTGAAGGATGTTTTAAACAGAAGAAAAAGTTAATGAAAACAAAGGCAGGGAGGAAGAAAGAGAATGGGTTTTTGACTGAAGCAAAAGATATGTTAAGTGATGTGACAAGGAAGCTGGTCTGCCTCATGCCAAGTGGAGAACATCTAGTGAAAAATGTGCTGGCAAACGAAACATCTATAGGCTCTCAGGGAGGGACCAAACCAGGAAGCAAGTAGGGATATTCATCAGCAGCAACACGTAATGAGGGAAAGGGCCGCTAGTTAGAAGACTAGAAACAGGGAAACACTCAAAGAGCATGAAAGTGAAAAGACGTAAACAACATTGTAGACAGAGCCCAAATGGCAGAGGTCATCTGCATTAAATTAAGCAAACTCTGTTACTGTACTGAAACAACAGAGGGTAAGGAAATGTTTTATCCTGGGCTCTGATGTAAGGTTTTGCTGGCTAACGATATGCCCAGCTGAGTATATTTCTTACATAATATGTGAAGCCAGGTCTGAATCAGTATACTCTAAGACTGATAAATAAGGGCCAATTTCTGATGACCTTGTTCTTTTGTTGGTGGTTGGGTTTGCAACTATAGCTGCAAATTCATTGTCAGAAAATGAATACTGTATAAACCAGCTTTATGACTCCTAAGAAAAGTTGCTAAATTAATGAGCTCTGTTGTAGTATCCAGATTTAAACACCCACCTGGTCAATTTCCATTAAATGAATTGTCTATTTTATTAAAAGATTTTATTTATTTTTAGACAGAGGAGAAGGGAGGGAGAAAAAGAAAGGGAGAAACACTAATGTCTGGTTGCCTCTCCCATACTCCCTACCAGGGACCTGACCCGCAACCCAGGCATGTGCCCTGACTGGGAATCACAGTGGCCACCCTTTGCTTCCCAGGTTGGCGCTCAATCCACTGAATCACACCAGCCAGGACTGAACTGTTTACTTTTTTTTGCACAGTTTTGAATACTAGCCTAAATTTGTCGGAGGGGAACCCCCCCCCCCCCCGCAAACAATCCTTCATATTCCTGATATGTACATTACAAGCATGAATAAATATATAGACATATATCTTATCAAAAGTAAGTGATCTCTTATGTAATTTGAGAAAAGTATTTTTAAAGTCCCTATAGGATGTTAATGATTTGGAACAAGGACATAAAAAAAAAAAACACCTTAATTCTGTTACTACTAGACTTTTTGATTCAGGCACACTCATGCAAACAATATAATGAGCACACCACTTTGGTTACCATTATACTACTCCAATTATCAATACAATACAAGGGCTGTGGAGAGCCACCATGGTAGGGCTCCCTAAGCTCACCTTTACAAAATAATTGAACAGGGGCCTGTATTTCTTCCCTTTGAGATAGGTACCTGGAAACCTAGAAAAAAAAAGAGAAAGGCAAACTTACAATTATATTTAGGCTATCAAAGAAATTAGGTTGGAGCCACATGAAATCACTACTCCCTTACTCATTTATGTGTTCCTTAGTCATAAATGTTGGCACATTACCAAACATGCAAATAATGGTATCAGTAACTAAAAGCTAAACTGGAATTATACAGCTTTTGGGTAATAAAGTTATCTTCTTTTTTTAAACTAAAGACACACATGCATAAATAAATAATTTGTATATTTACCTTTCCAGGATCTCATAGTCACTTTCCGATCTAAAGAGGGCTGATAATCTGGCTTCCATTAAAATGAGTGATTTTCCTCTGACAACATCTATGAGACCAATAGAAAAAGTGGACTTCAGTGATACTGACACTGTGAATATCACTTAAAGACATGAATCAGCACGGCTCTCCCTCCAGTGGTTCCTGTATCACCTACGATCAGTGTGCTCAGCACTCACAGAGAAACACTACAAAGAACACTACACACTTCCTTCTGGATACTAAAAAGACAAAAACAACAAAAGCTGTTAGGCAGCTCATGAATTGTTGTAAATTGCACCTCTACCCATTTGTAGTAAACTGATCTTTATTTTCCCCTACCAAAGGTAATATATATGTGACTGATTCAAAGTCATTAACAAACTAAGAAGTTTACAAATAAAAGTCCCCTATAATCTTATCAACCCTTAGGTACTACTTACCATATATTTGACTGCATATCCCCAGATATTTTTCTATGTATATAGTAATATACATATTATGTCAATGGGTGACTTTTAAAAGATAATTGTAGGCCCTGGCTGGTGTGGCTCAGTGGAATGAGTGCCAGCTTGCAAAACCAAAGGGTTAACAGTTCGATCACATGTGGGCCAGATTCCTAGCAGGAGGCGCACGCAAGGCAACCAGACACTGATGTTTCTCTCCTCTTTCTCCCAACCTTCCCCTCTTTCTAATAATAATAATTGTAAAATGTAACTCAATATAGTTTTAAAATTTATTTTCACATAATACACTATGAACTGTTTACATTGGGATAATGGGTATTGTAGTACGTTTCTTTGTATTCTTATTGGAAATGGAGGACCTTACCCTAAAAATAGAAAAAAATGGAACATCTATTAAAACATTTAAAATTTAACAGATACTGAAAAATTGCCTTACAAAATTTAAAACTCCCACCTATAAAGTATGACATATCCAAGAATTTATTCGAGCCTATGAAAATTCACCATCAGAAAAATGAGAATATTAATTTCCGTGAAGGCCTTTGAAATTCATTGACAGACTGCTATAAATAATTTTGACACTCACCAGTCCTGACCTCACAGGAACTTTATTACAAGTGGAGTCTACATTTTCTGAACTCAAACTCAGAATACGTAGTCCACCAAGTACAAGAGGCAGGCAGAGTGACATGACCGAAATCTCAGTCAGATGGCTCCTAAGACTGTCAGGCTCACTACAGAATGGCTGTCTCATAGGTGAAATAGGGAACTTAAATGGAGAAGCAGCTACAGAGCCAGGCTGTGTGTGCAAACAGCTCTTTCCCAGCAGATATCATAAGAAACCAAATCTTGAGCCCTGGCTGGTGTAGCTCAGTGGATTGAGCACGGGCCTGCAAACCAAAAGATCGTGGTTCAGTTCCCCAACAGGGCACATGCCTGGGTTGCAGGCCAGTTCCCAGCAGGGGCCAGTTCCCAGCAGGGGATGCACCAGAAGCAACCATACATTGATATTTCTCTCCTTCCCTTCCCTTCTAAAGATAAATAAATAAAATTTAAAAAAAAAAAAAAAAAGAAAGAAATTCCTAACTGGGGGGGGGGGGGGGGGGGAAGAAACCAAATCTTGGTCCTATCCACTTCCAAAGCATAGGTAAATAATAATTACTTGTTTTCTGACCCCCAATCCTCTCTATTCCTTTATCAATATTTCTCTCTTGGCAACAAAAGCTATTGTGGGTCATGCTGATTGTCGTGTAAGGTGGATTTCCTTTTTCTTCTCAGTTTTTCTTTTCTACTTTTGCTTCACCCTTTCCCTCATAAAGTATCAAAACCCTGAAAGTTCCAATCTTCTATTTTCATGTAAGTATCTTTGAAATGGCCTCATTGAGACTGTGGTTAACTCTCTACCAGGGAATATATGAAAGACGCAAAGTCAAGTTTTGATACAAATTCTGTGATACTCAAGCAGGAGACAGCATAGCAAAGGAGAAACGCTGAGACTGCACTTCTGTTGCTGCAGTCTACTGTCCTGGTTGCCAGAAAATGACTTTTAGTATCTAGGTAGAGACCATGCTTGTGCACAAAACTTCACTGGTAGTTAATGAAAGGATAAAGTCTGTGCCATTTGCTATCATGGCACAATATGCCAAGCAGGCCTATGACCTTGTTAAACATAACTGTCATTTTTCTCTTCTGAGCTTGTCCCCAGGACTGGAAATTACTGGAAAGAACAGACCTAACTGCTCCCCACAGTCACGGGCATAAGATTATACTGGAACACACCGTAGTCTCATGTTGCAATGCCCCAATGAAATGAGGTGCAAACTGGAAATACTTCCCACATTCCAAAGTTGGAGGATGGGGGTGGGGGGTGATATGGAGGTTAAGATACTTTTCATAATGATGGCAAGTTGATAGCTGTGCTTCCAACCCTGGTAAAAGGTCTACTTGACTTTCAGACTTCGCCTGGGGAGCTTATACAATGCCTGTAGGAGGGCAGGCTCCTGTGTCATGGGGTACTCTTGCTGTGAGTGAAGATGGAAGCCGAAAGAAGGTAAAAGATATGGGGTAACTGGCAAGAGTAGCACATTGTAGGATGAGCCAGATACGAGGTCACATAGGATACTCTGGGTCAGCATTTAAAAAATAAGAGCAGGCTCAGAGAAAGGAAGGGAAGCAGCCATGAGGTTTCAAAGGGTAGAGAAGAACTGCCCAATTGGCCATGAGGTCAGTAGTGACTGGCAGCCATGAGGAAGGAGTCCAGGGGAATTTCAGCCATGAGGGGAATTTCATCCATGAGAAAGTCTGAAGATTTTTCTCAGTCTTCAGACTCATGGCCGAGGTCTGAGAAAGAAAACAGCAAGCAGCTATGCAGTTTGTAGTGAAGCAGTCAACCATGAGGCTGGTGTGAAAGGTAGAAGCCATGATGGCCAGGAGTTAGGATCCTGCCATGCAGCCTAAGGTAGTGAGGAGCAGCCACACTGGCTGAAGAAGGGTGTAAGGAGAGAGCTGACTGAGCTAGGTGGTAACCTGCTGAACCAACCATGGATTCGTAACAGATGCCTAGAATGCTGACTTCTGCTTCTCTGAAGGACATACGGAGAGGCCACTGTCTTGGGATTCCCAGGAGTCCACCAGGAATCAGTGTAACCTGGCACATGTTTTCCTGGACTACTATTACTACATGGAGGCTAAGAACAACATACGCTAGATCCTGAAGGAGAGAGCTGCTGCAAGAGGATGGTGACTATGAAACACACAAGTGCACACACATGCCAGAGAAGATAGAGAATTCTTTGAACAGCTGGCTTATGAACAGATAAGGATATGGGGAATTTTGGGCATTTTTTTTGGCTCATTACCTGATGGGGAGCAAGGAAAGTGCTGGGTCTCATGGCAGAACAGGGCTCAGAGCAGGAATGCTCCCAGCCCACCCCGAGGTAAGTTTCCTGTCTCCTTCAACACTGATTGGTTGGGTATGCACCAAGGTGACACATGGACAGGTCCCAGTTTGCTTGGTTACACCAATAGCTCAGGAGGCACAAAACAGCAACTACCTGGTCTTTTCTTTTTTTCTTTTCTTTTTTTTTAAAGATTTTATTTATTTATCTTTAGAGGGAAAGGGAAGGAGAAAGGGAGAGAAACATCAATGTATGGTTGCCTTTCATGCATCCCCTGCTGGGAATTGGCCTGCAGGGAACTGGCCTGCAACCCAGGAATGTGCCCTGACTGGGAATCGAACCGTGATTGTCTGGTTCACAGGCCCGTGCTGAATCCACTGAGCTACACCAGCCAGGGCTTACCTGGTCTTTTCTAACCCAATAAAAGCTCAAAGCCCCTACCTCTTAATTCTGGAGTATCTCTCCATACCATGCCCCTCTCCTTTCTGAGAGAGTGAATAAATACTTTACTCTCTGCACATTATTCTTTGTGATCTCTTTCACATCCCGTGTCACTGACTACCTAACAGTTAACCCATTTTACCCCACTAACTATATTTTGCAGAGTATAATGCACTGTCATGTATTAATGTGCACCCACGTTTTTGGCCCAATTTCAGGAAAATAAACTTTTATTTTAATTTTTGAGTTTGTTTGTTTGTTTTAAGATACTTAATTTTTGTATTAGAGAGAAATTTTAGCATTTATTTTTGAACATATTGTGGTACAAGAAATTTTCTGTTACAAATAATTATAAAACACAAGAACAAATACAAGAGATTCCAGGCACTACCCGTATATAATGTGCATCTTTATTTTTCCCTCAAAAATTCGGGAAAAAAATGTGCATTATACACAGCAAAGTAATCTAATTATTATGCTATTCTACTGAATTAACACAGCTGCTTGATCCCGGAGACGGCAATCAAGGAGATCGTGGGAAAGGTACCAGAGCACAAGCTTAAAGGTTATGTAACTAATTAAGCATGTGTAGTAAGAAGCCCACAAAAATCAAACAACGGAATTCACCTTTTCCTCTCGTGCTGCCTAAAGCCCATAAAAGGAGACAAAAAGATTCAGAAAAACCCCTGTCCAATCTCTCTTAGGAAGAAGTGGGTCAGTTCCTTATTGGCAAAGGAGGTGACCCGCTCTCCTATCTCGGGAGTATACTTTACTTTATAAATCACGCTAACTGCACTTCACTTTGTTGGTTAAGAGATACACTTTCTTTAATAAACCTTGCATGTTACACATAACCTTGTGTGTGTACTCAGTCCAATTTATTGGTCAGGACTACCAAAAACCTAGAGCTACACCTATCAGCAGCAATGTTAGAATTTATAATAAACACATATTTTGTCTCAGTCCCCGTTCTGGTAGAGCTGTTAAAATGCTTAGAATTTCTTAAGTGATGAGAGACTTGTAACCTACCCTAGTTCCATGGGGAAAGAAACTGTGCTTGGGACCCTTTAGACCTCACCCTGTAAACTTTTTCATATGGCTGTTTATGTGTACCCTTTATAATATCCTTTTATAACACAGTGGTAATCTAATAAATACAATGTTTCTCTGAGTTCTGAGAGCCGCTTCAGTAAATTAATCAAACCTGAGATCATGGGTCAGTCAGAAGCACTGGTTAACAACCTGGACTTGCAACTGGAGTCTAAAGTGGGGGTGCAGTGGTGGGGACAGTGTTGTAGGACTGAGCCCTTAATGTGTGGGATCTGATGCTAATTCTAGATAGCTAGTATCTGAACTGACTAAATTGCTTGGTGCTTTTAAAAAACACATGCATGAGAGATTCCTAATAATGATGAAATGCCACCTCTCTGAATCTCAGGAACTTCACTTATAACAGGGGCATGATGTACAGAGGTGTACTAAAATCTGAAAATTATAAGGAATTTTTACTTTTTATATATTTGTACTATGCTACTTTGTGTGTTTATTTTCAATATGTTGAAGAGAAAACAAGAGCCAAAATGGCCTCAGTCATTCTAAAAAGCCCATGATACTAAAACGAAGTTTATTATTTGACCTAATTGCTGTTTCAATCTTTCCCAGAAAGTCTATATTTATTTGGTCAACATCAAAGAGTTAATCTGAGGAATAGGTTCTCACCACCCTGACACCAGAAAAAAAGAGGCAATCTGCATAATAAAAAAACATTTGCAGTGAGCTTCCCCCCCAAACAAAAACAAACAGCCCTGGCCAGTGTGTCTCAGTGGATAGAGAGCTGGCCTGCAAACCAAAGGGTCGCCTGTTCAATTGCTAAATTGTGGACCAGGTCCCCAGGTCGGGGCACACAACAGGTAAGCACACATTGATGTTTCTCCCCCTCTCTTTCTCTAAAAGATAAATAAATAAAATCTTAAAAAAAAAACAGCCCCCCCTGAAACTCAGATGTCCTGGTCTAAAATAAATCCTTTCTTTTCTTTTCCTAATAGCTCCCCTTGCCTCACTCTCTTCCTAAAAAAAATCTTAAATTTTGCATAACCTTTAGCAGTATACTTTTAGTTGCTAAATGGTATACTGTCCACTTAATAAAGCCAATTAAACCTTCAAATTTATTTGGCTGAATTTTGTTCTTTAACAGATTAGAAAAAAACGAACCTCTTTTAGAGGTTATTTTTCTGACTAAGTCTAACACTTTCTAAAAACTTCTATTTTTATTCCAAAAAAATGAAACTTTCATTTTGTCCCAAAATGTTAAAATTATTTTATTCATATTAATCATAAGTAATCAGGCTCACACTTACCTTTAATCTTTACATACTGTGAATCTGGATTAACACAGAGGGCAAGGTTGCTAGGGAGAGTCCAGGGAGTACTTGTCCAAGCAACCAAAGATACATTTTCATCTTCCTCCAAAGGGAAGGTTACAAATATTGAAGGGTCTTGAACATCCTGAAATAAAATGAGACAAAATTTATAACAGACATGGAAAGAAAAGAAACTAATCCTAAAGAGTAAAATAAACTGATATTCAGAATAAACTGAACTTTTCAAAAACCACTTGATATGTTTACAAAAATAAAATAGTAAGAAAACCAATATATACTTTAATACACTTTAAACGTTTTAACAATTACACACTACAAAATGGCACTTGGTCAGTGGACTGTAGATACAATGGTGGTCCCATAAAGATTATAAGGGAGCTGAAAAATTCCTATAGGATAGGCTAGTAATGCCATAGCTTTCCTTAGGTTGTAAGGTAATGCATTACATAGTCTTAATAGCGCTGTGTTACAAGTGCCTACAATATTCAGTATAGTAACATACCGTAGATTTATAGTCTAGGAGCTGTAGGGCAACAGATTATGTTGTTGACATAACCGTTTGGGTTATGCCATCCCAAAGTATGTCTATTTTGGATAAGGATTACTTTAGGTCAATTAAAGAAAGAGCAGAAAGGGGAGAAGTTGTGAAAACAAGTAGCAGCTTGTTTTTGCAAAAGATATTTACATTTGTAAAGGAAGTCTCCATCTGTAAGTTTCTCCTCTTCATGTGCCAGGAAGTGGAAGGCCTTATCTTTAGATACCCTTATCAATAAAGATGACAAGTCCCTAAACCTGCATAGCAACCTTTTGTTTTCTGTGATTTTCCTGGTAACTTACCATAACTGACTCCTGCCACCCCTAATATCTCTTACATAATTTGAGCAAAAGATGTTATTTTAAGGTGGCTTCTACATTTTTTCAAGTTACTTTGTTTTCCTGGGTCCCTCCCACATATAGAGGAGCTATACATACTATTAAATGTCTTTGGTTTTTTTCCTATAAACCTGTCTTTTATTACAGGGATGTCTTAGCCAAGAGGCCTGAAGGTAAAGGGAATTTATTTTTCCTCCCCTACAGAGCAATAGCTGTGCAGTAGGCTATTCCATCTAGGTTTGTGTTCAGTGCACTCTGATGTTCTCACAAGGATAAATTCACCTAATAGACCCTTAAATGGAGCATGACTGTAGTTACAAACAACACATTTTAAGTGTATCAAGAGGGATATATATGTATAGTGAAGGTTTCACTATTACAATGAACTATTTTATAATACAACCATAAAGTAATATGTCAATTTTAAAATAACTTTCACCTCTTCCCCTCCTGTTTCCCTCTTCCCTTGACATAAAAAGCTGCATCCTGCACTTTTTAAATATGGTTCTTAGGATGCTAGTCTGTCATCTTTTTGACTTGATGGCTTTCTGAATAAAGTCATTTTCCTTGCCCCAACACCTTGTCAGTCAACTCACTGCCTTGTTGTGTGGCAAGGGGTGGAAACTTAAACATGGCTGCAAATAATAATTCAGCTCATAAAGAAAAAAACAAACTTACTGGTAACCAATACACATTCAGAGAATTGTAACCAAGAAGCTTGGAGTCTGGCTGCCTGCATTTGTGAACAAACACAACCCAGAAATAGGTGAGGAAGGAAAGAGGTTTTTATTAACAGGTACCAAATTTGAGAGGACTGGGAACATCCCTGCTCCAAGTCAACCTCTTCCACAAAACACAGAAATTCCCTTGTTCCCAGAAAGACAGGAACCCAAATTGATGCCCAGAAGTTACCCATCATACACATTTATCCTTTTGGAACCCAAGGAGGCGATACTAAGACTCTCTGTCTCTTCAGTTTTAAGGCTCTTTGGCTCCGGAGTGCACACACTTCAGGGTTCCAGAGCTGCCATTGTCTCATGCAGCTTCTTCTCTCTTCCCCAGAGCCTGGGGTGTACTGCCAGATCACTCCAACTGGTCATGTAAGAGAATCTCCATCCGTGGGACCCCTGCTCACAAGAGTTACTCTTGTCTCAGAGCTGGTGAGTGTTCCCAGCCCATGCCTCCATATGTTGTTCTCAGCAAAAGAACACGGCATAGTCTGACTCCTGAGGTGCAGAGCAGATGTATCTCAAGGGCCTGTGATTTGAGACACATCTTGGTGTGGGACTCTGCCTGCAGGCGAAAAGCCCTGAGTGGGCTCTTCATCTGCCCATCCCATAACCAGCCCCCACACCTCACCCCAATCAGGTGCACAAGGCAAAGAGAAGAGAGTGCTTTTCCCAGTAATCTATTTTAATGTCTTGGCCCACAAACCCAAGCACAATGAAACATCTGGCTTTTCAACCTATGTGCTCTAACACCTGCCATGTTTGTCAGGCTCCCAGTGTCTTTGCTCCTCTTCTGGCTGCCATTTTGTAGAAAGGGGCAGAAGTTTCCCCAGTGGTGAACAGGGGCACAAATGTCTTAGCCCAAGGCGGGGCATTTGGCCACACAGACGGCTTAGGTTCTGTGCTGCCTATGTCACGAGCTGCTCACTTGTTGGGGCATTGCATGCTGGTTAGTGCTTCTTGCATTAGTTGTTCTGGGGCATGCATGCCTATCAAACCCCAATCCTGAGTCTCAATCCTGAGTTGCCCTCATTACTTCCTGTAAACCCTCCCTTCTGGGGGCAGAGGGGAGGTACTGGCTCTCAGAATTTCTTCCCTGTTCCCCAGCAGTCTGATCAGATCCCTCTGTTACAGAATAGCTGAAGTAAAAAAGAGAAAATGCTAAGTGTTGAGAGAATGCAGAATAATCACAACTGTTTAGTGGGAATATAAATCAGTACAACCACTTTGGGGCACTTCATGCTAGTACATATTACAGTGAAAGGCATCAACCCACAGCTCACAGGCCAAATCTGACTGCACCCTGTTTTCATATATCTCAAGAGCAAAGAATGATTTTGAGAGAACTGAGTACTTGAGATAGGCCATTTGGCTCACAAAGCCTAAAATTTTTACTAGGTGTCCCTTTAAAGACTGCCAACTTGTGTTCTGAAGCTACTAAGTAGAAGTATATGTTTTGACTCAACAACTCCACTCCTACTGGTTATGTATCTAAAAGACATAGATATAGTATATGCTCTCCTAAAGACAAGTTCTGGAATGTCCAGAGCAGCACTACTGATAAGAAACACAAACTGAAAACTGCCCAAATTCCCATCAATATTAGGATAAATAAATAAAATACTAGATAACAATTAAAATGGTGACCTATAAAACACAACATGGATGACTTTCAAACAATCTTGAGCAAGAGAAGCCAGGCACACACAAATAAAAACACACTGTACGAAACCATTTATATATAGCTTAGAATCAGCAAATGAATTAATGAAGTTAGAAGTAGGGGTGAGAAGTGCATGGCTAACTTAAGGAACCAGGAGAAGGGAGAACTACTGATAGGCTGATAGGGTTTTTTTTTTTTTTTCTTAAAAAGACTTGTATTTATTTATTTTTAGAGAGAGAGGAAGAGAAGGAAAGAAAGAGGGAAACTTCAATGTGTGGTTACCCCTGGCATGCCCACTACTGGGCACGTGCCTGGGTTGCAGGCCAGGTCCCCAGTAGGGGACACATGAGAGGCAACCACACATCCACACATTGGTGTTTCTGTCCCACTCTTTCTCCTTCTCTTCCCCCCTCTCTATAAATAAATAAATAAAATATTAAAAAAAAATAATCCAACTAACCAGACTACTAAAAACTAAAAATTCAGACAAATAACAAATACTTTATATACTACAAGTTGGTTTACCTTTGGGAACAGTTGGAAGGCCTTTCTCCTGAAACTCAGTGTACTTTTGCACAGCTTGCTCTTTCCCAACAAGAGAATGTTTATGAAAGAGAGTAACCTTTGAAAATTGTAGGAGCTCACAAGCTATTATGAAGGTCTAACATTTAAAAATTGGTGCCAAAGGAAACCCAGCATAAGTATACAAGGATTTATATTTAAAATGTTCAGAGCTATGTCCGTCAAAACCACTCAAATGTCTACCAAATGAATAAATTGTAACCTATTTGTTATATGAAACACTACAAAGCAGTTAAAATAAACTTAAAAGTACATGTATCAAGATGAAGAAGCTTTAAAAAATATTGTTTAGTATAAAAGACAAGATGCAGAGTAAGTACAGTGGTGAGATTTGAAAACATGCAGAACAATGCTAATACCGTTAATGGATATTTTTGCAGATAGTAAAAGTATAAAAATATGCATGGGAAGGAAATGTCAATTCCAGCACCACAGTTACCTATAAGGATATAAGGAAGGAAGTAGAAAAGTGCTGTAAAAAAATCGTGGTATATTCACTCACACAAAAATTAGAACAAAAAATCCATCACTATATGGATCACCATCAGAAACATAATGCTGAGTGAAAAGCTAGATATAAAAAAATACACAGTGGTTCTTTCCACTTCCACAAAGTGAAAAGAAGCAACACTAATCAACTATTATCTATAGCATTTTATGTATTTTTACAAAAAAGAGATGCCACTTACTGGAAATCATCAAATGGTACACTTAAGATTTGTACATTTAACTATTGATGAATTTTAACCTCCCTGCCTTGACAACACCCCCAAAACCATAAGCAAATACTGACCTCTATTAATGACATACATGAAGGAAATAACAAATACAAAAATGAGGTACCAATTAATAAAAAATATAAAGGACAAAGAAAGCGTTAAATTAGACCATGCAAACAGAAGCAAAACACTTATATTGTAGAAACCTTCTAAGACAAAACCTGTCTTCTAAACAATAATTTGCAAGAAAAAGAATAGAAAGAGAAAAGGAGACCTACAGATTAATACAGATCAAAAAGACAGTTATTACCATGCATAAACCTTTCTTAGATGTGACTAAAAAACCAAAATAAAAATAACGAGAGACAAAGGTATGATATTTGAGACAAAGAGAAACACTAATGATATCAAGGAATTAAAGAATTTTAAAGTATTTAAAAGTGATGACTGGTGCAAAAAAGGTACCATGGTATTGTTACAAAATAAATGATAGCACTTAGTATATAATTCTCTACATTTGTATGTACATAAAATATTTTATTAAAAAAAGTACAACCAATTAATTATTAGCACTAGCACAGGTATTTAGGAGACAACAGGATCATCATGCCCACATCAGAATTTGCAAAGATAAAACTGAACATATGAAGAAAAGCATTCTATAAGATGAGAAGTGCTTTCGAAATACAAATCTTAATAGTATTTCCAAATCTGAGCTATAAAGTAAGAATCTCCCCCAAAATCAATGTCCTTTAAAAACAAAGAGGATTAGATAAATTTTCAGAAATGAAAACAACCTCTTGAATACACGCACATGAGAACAGACAGTTCACAGATAGTTTTAGAAGATTTATTACCTTGACTATCTGTCTGAAGTAGTATATTTTATAAATATCAGACATGTCCAAAATCTTCTATCAAGCCAATGACAGGATATTCTATTCACTAGAAAAAAGATCATAATACTGTACACCAACCCTCAATCAGATTTTTCCCAAATACCATTAACAAATAAATGAACTATGAGATCTTAGGTGAGGGATCAAGGTCACCCAAACCAACAACTTATGAAACAGTAACAGGAGGGAAACAGGGCAGAGCTCAACTTATAAACCAGAGGCATGAAAATATGGTGAAAACAAACAAAACCTATCACATTAACTAAGACATTATTCACATATCTCACAGGGAAAAGGTAATCCCTTGCTTTCAATCTTAACAAAACCTTAGTTCAGTGACCGGCAGTACTACCAGCACTTGGTAGTGCTGTGATTTTTAACAATCACACTGACCAGACTTGTTGGGCCAGCCTTTCACATTCAGACTAGTTACCTTGATCATGACAACCATTTAAATTTCCAGGTACATAATGCCCAATGATGTCCTACTTACCTTGTAATTCTGGTGAGATTCGAAGTTGGAAAGTGGAGTGTTGCATGCAGTAGAAAAGGGCATCACTTTCACACCTCTATAAACAAGACCTTTATCATAGAGTTGTTTGAAGACCCACCTAGCAAGTAAAGAGACAAAGTTTTAGAATAGTTATATAACCTAAACTCTGTTTCCCCAAATGCAAACATTTATGCCTGGTTATGTTTATAGTTCGTGTCAACCAAAGATGTGAAAACACAATGTCTCTGAAGATTCTCTGGTAAATTACAACAGATCAGAATGAGACGTTATGTAGACATAAAAGTACTAACTATCTGTTGACATGGAAACATGTTCATAACTTAATGTTGACTGAGAAAAGTAACTGGCACCATATTGTATAATAAGGCACCAATTATATGAAACTATACAAATCAATATACATATTTATTTTTTTCATGAATGCTGGAAAAACTGATTTCTACTATGTCTGACATTTAAGTTTTAATTTGTAATAGTTTTCTGGTATACTGCCTACAGCTTACATTTTATTGTAATAGACAGTATTACATCACCAAGATTAGAATCTATTTCTCCTACTTTTATTGAATACTTAATAATGTTGCTTTAAGCAAAATGTATTCAATACAACACTACAAATGTCAGTTAACAGTCATCCCAGATTCTCCTCTGACTGCTCAATTCTCCCAAATGGATGCTAGGATACCACTGAAAGGAATCCTGAAATTTTCCCACTTTAAAATTTCTCTGTATAGTAGAATTCCTATGTGGCTGTCACAATAAATGAATTAAAACCCCTCCCCTTTGCTACGATAAATTTTTATGAAAACCACATTTTTACAGCATTCTCTGGCTTAAAGCTTAAAAAGTGATGTTTTATAATAAATTTCCCAATGTTAAACTCAATCTTAAAGTATATACTTTGAGGCAAAACACTCATAGGGGATTGCAGAGTGTTATATTAGTTTTTGCAAGACCCGGTTTTTAAGTCTAAGAGCAATAAAACTAGCTGCATGATCTCAGGTAAGTCGCAACCACTTTATCTCAAACAGGGTCCTATCCCAATCCAGAGGGCTCTTACATGAGGTGGGAAAATTCACATGGAAGTACTTTACATTTTTAGGCCAAAAAAAAAAAAAAAAGTTTATTCAAGAAAATGTAAAAATATTTTATTTATCAAAGTAAAATGAATAGTCAAAATTGCACAATTACACTAATAAAAATTCCACACATCATCCTCAGAATAATCAGTTTCTGCACAAAGATTTACACATGAATTCTTCTTCAGTGTACTACTGAGCTCATAGAGGTTTTGCTTGAATATTCCCCAAATCAAGCACAGAATGTTTTATCAATTTCTCCAATGACCACAACACTGACACATCTTATTCTACTCCCTGTGAAGAGCTAAATACTCATTCATGGCTTTCAACCACAATCAAATTAATGGTCAATGTTCTCACTATCATTCTCCCATCAAGAAATAATAGCAGCAACAGTCTGCTTGATATACGTCTGCAGAGTGGATGTTGTGGTGCTCAGCTTGGCCACTACAGGTAACACTGCAGTGTAAGTGACAGAAGGACCATGTGGAACTACTTTATAAACTCAAATCACCAACTCAATCTAAATTATCACCATTGTTACTAATGCTGTCATTATTAAAGGTATCACCTACATTTCTTTTATTTACTCTAGGCCCATGTGCCTTATATACCAAGATGTTCCTCAGGAACACTAACATCTAACATCTTAATACCAACAAACTTCAAAAGCTATTTTCCCTTGAGTCAAGTATGTTTTGTGTGAATCAAGAAGTAGAATGTAGAGCTGCAGTTTCCAACATGCAGACAGATAGTACCCATAGGTGCGCATTTAAATTTAAATTCATTAAAATTAGAAATTCAACCTTTTGATCATGGTAGCCACAATTAAGTGATCAACAGCCCCAATCCAGAACATAAATATAGCTTTCACATGTCTAACACAAACCCTGGTTTTTAGATGCTCTAATCATGAGAATCCCAGCTGTTCACTGAATGGGAAGCTGCCTTCTCAAAATCCCTGGCTCGTCAGAAAACCTGATCAGCTTCTACCCTTGGGTACATGGGTTTAGAGATGAACCCACAGGGTCACATCAGAGTCAAATGGTCTGAGAACTGTCCAAGGTGTCTTGTTCCACAAAGACAAAGAGTATGTGCCAAGCATGTGCAACAGATCCTGACTAACAGAAATGAAAGCAGGCAGATAGGAAGACAATATAAGCCACAAGTACCTACAATGCAGTGAAGTGCTTCCTACAAAACAGCTTTGCAACTTGCCTGTAATTATGTATAACTAACCTGAGTAATATACAGAGGGATTTTACAACCTTAATGATGTCTCTTTACCCATCAATAATATGTAATGATTTTCAGACTATAATAGCAGGCTTAAGTTAAATCACCTATCAAGACTGACATAGCAACAGTTGTCTTTTAACAGTAAATAAGTAAAACTCATTTTGAAATGGTTACAGAACAGTAACTGCACTATACTTTTTCTCTTGGTATAAAATTCAAGCACACAATCTGTTAGACTCAATTCTCTAAAACAAGTTCCCGAAACCAGTTTCCCTAAGTTATATACCAATCAATTTGACAAAAATACTTTAACATATTCTTTCTTTTCAGTAACAGTTGACATTCAACATTATTTTATACTGTACATTTCTGTGACTATTTTATAATTACCAATTTGTCCTTAATCCCTTTGCCCTTTTTAACCAGCCTCCTAACCTCCTTCAATCTAGCAACCAGTTTTTCCCATTTATCTGTGACTTTGTTTGTTTATTTAGCATAATATCCTTTATGTCCCTGCAGATTGTCATATGATAAGATCTCACTCTATATTTTTATGGTTTAGTAATACGCCATTGTATATAAGCATCCTACCTTCTTTATCCATTCATCTATTAATGGACAGTGAGGTTGCTTCACCATCTTAGCTATTAATAACGCTGCAGTGAACAGAGATGTGCATGTATCTTCCTGAAATAGTGTTTTATTTCCTTCTGATAAATATCCAGAAGGGGAATTGCTGGGTCATACGACAGTTCCATCTTTAATGTTTCTAAGGAACCTCAATGCTCTTTTCCATACTGGTGCACCAATTTCCAATCCCACCAACAATGCACGAGGATTCTTTTTCTCCATATCTTTGCCTACAATTGTGTGATTTACTGATATTGTATGATTTATAGATACCAGGCCATTTATATTCTTTATTCTATGTAGTGTGAACAATTCTTTGTTCTGATGCAATAACACTAATGTATTTGATTATGGCCTGCTGCTCAATCTTCTGGGGACATTATATATGACAATGTACATAAATATCTCATTACCTATCTAGAATCCAAAATTAACTAAAATAAAAAATTTAATAACCATATAATATGAGACTGATAGTTACATGTCATTACCCCAAACCACAGAATGTTCAACAATAGTGAACCTTAAAGTATGGACTTTGGGTGATTGTGTCAATGAAGGTTTAGTTGTAACAAATATACCATTCTGGTGGGGGATGTTGAAAGTAGGGTTACAAGGCATATGGGAAATGCCTGTACCTTGTTCTCAATTTTGCTGTGAACCTTAAAATGCTCTAAAAAACCCCTGAAGTTTTACATCTTAAAAAACAAAACAAAAAAACAACTTACCATCACTCTGCTAATACAGGGGTGGGCAAAAGCAGGTTTACAGGTGTATGGGCAAGTCTTTTTTTGAAATATATTTTATTGCATATGCTATTAAAATTGTCCCATCCTCCCCCTTTATTTCCCTCTGCCTTGCACACCCCCTCCCACCCACATCCTTCCACTTTAGTTCATGTCCATGTATCATACACGTAAGTTCTTTGGCTTCTACATTTCCTATACTACTCTTAACCTCCCCCCATCTATTTTCTACCTACCATTTATGCTACTTACTCTCTGTACCTTTCCCCCTCTCTCCCCACACATTCCTGTTGATAACCCTCCATGTGATCTCCATTTCTGTGGTTCTGTTCATTCTAGTTGTTCGCTTCATTTGCTTTTGTTTTAGATGTGGTTGTTAATAACTGTTTGTTTGCTGTCATTTTACCATTCATATTTTTTATCTTCTTTTTCTCAGATGAATCACTTTAACATTTCATATAATAAGGGCTTGGTGATGATGAACTCCTTGAACTTGACCTTATCTGAGAAGCACTTTACCTGCCCTTCTATTCTAAATGAAAGCTTTGCTGGACAGAGCAGTCTTAGACGTAGGACCTTGCCTTTCATGACTTGGAACACTTCTTTCCAGCCCCTTCTTGCCTGTAAGGTCCCTTTTGAGAAATCAGCCGACAGTCTGATGGGCACTCCTTTGTAAATAACTGTCTCCTTATCTCTAGCTGCTTCTATAATTCTCTCCTTCATTTTAATCTTGGGTAATGTAATTATGATGTGCCTTGGTGTGTTCCTCCTTGGGTCCAACTTCTTTGGGACTCTCTGAGCTCCTGGACTTTCTGGAAGTCTATTTTCTTTGCCATATTGGGGAAGTTCTCCTTCGTTATTTGTTCAAATAAGTTTTCAATTTGTTGCTCTGCCTCTTCCCCTTCTGGCACCACTATAATTTGGATGTTGGAACGTTTAAAGATGTCCTGGAGTTTCCTAAGCCTCTCCTCATTTATTTGAATTCTAATTTCTTCATTCAGTTATGGTTGATGTTTCTTTTTTCCTTCAGGTCAACACCATTGATTAGAGTCCCAGTTTCCTTCCCTTCACTATTGGTTCCCTGTACATTTTCCTTTATTTCATTTAGCACGGCCTTCAGTTTTTCATCTAATTTGGGACCATATTCAACCAATCCTGTGAGCATCCTGATTACCAGTGTTTTGTACTGTGATCTGATAGGCTGGCTATCTCTTTATAGCTTAGTTGTTTTTTTTGAGCTTTGATCTGTTCTTTCATTTGGGCCAGTTTTTTTTTTTTTTTTTTGTCTCCGCACACCTGCTACATATAAGGGGCAGAGCCTTAGGTGTTCACCAGGGCTGACAACCCACATCGCTGCTTTGTGACGCTGTATGTGGGGAAGGGGTCAAGAGGGACCAATGGCACTTGCTCTGCTCTCTGCCAGATTTCAGTCACTTCCCCCACTATCACTATCCATAAGCACAGTGGGCCCTTCTGGTGCTGGTTTCCAGTTGGGTGGGCTTGTGTACCTTCCCAGACCCTATGGGTCTTTCCAGTGAACTTTCCTGTGAGACTGTAAGTTTCTCCTGCTGCCACCTCAATCCCCCACCGTTGGTTTCAATCAGAGGTTTGAGGCTTTGTTTCCCACTGCAGGGACCCCAGGTTGCAAGGTCTGTCTTGCTCCCCAGCTGTTCCTCCTGGTTTATCTGTGTGTGGATGTAGGACTGCCTGCACCACCTTGCTGGTATGCCAGCTGCTGCCTTGGATGCCTGCCTCCACAATCCACTGCCTAGCTGGGTCTGACAGCCGCCACCTTGCCCACCCCGGTCCTCCACTGCCACTTTGCCACGAGTCCTCTCTACCCAGTTGCCCGTTTCCACCCCTCTTACTGGTCTGGATGGATGCCTCTTCAACTCCTTGGTTGTCAGACTTCCATATAGTTCAATTATCTGTCAGTGTGGTTGTTTTTGGTTCTTAAAATTGTTGTCCTTCTTTTGGTTGTGTGAGGACGTACAGTGTGTCTACCTATGCCTCCATCTTGGCCAGAAGCTATTCCAAAACAGAGTTTATTCTTGTATTATTTATTTATTGTTGCATTTTCCATTTGAACAACTATAAATCTACTTTTGCTCACCCCTGTGTAGAATTACATCTATAATTTCAAATAAACCTACCACACAGATTCCATGAATTCTGGATACAGAGTTTTATAGTCATTGTCAAAGTCAATCCATCGGCCAAGTCTGGTAACAGTAGACTAAAAAAATATAGATATTAGGTATTAGAGAATGATTATTTTATTATTGCACACCAATGTGTTTTACTTCCTCTTTAAGTATTATTTTTTTAAAAAGATTTTATTTATTCATTTTTAGCGAGAAGGGGAGGGAGAGAGGCAGAGAAACATCAGTGTGTGAGAGATACATTGATTAGCTGCCTCTTGCATGCCACTACCTAGAGACCTGGCCTGTAATCCCAGCATGTGCCCTGTTTGGGAATCGAACCTACAACCTTTTTGTTGCAGGCTGATGCTCAACCCACTGAACCAAACCAGATGGGCGAATGTGTTTTATTTTATCACCACATACAATAATTTTGAGAAAACAGAACAATCAATGATTCAAGTTAATCTATGTTGTAATCAACATGCTATATAAGGTTGAGAACCTGCTTTTTTCCAGCATTCATCCTGTATATAAATAGTTATTTACAAGTATTAATATGCCTTTAAAGTGTACCAAAACTACCACCTGGCAAACACCACAGGTATACGTGTTCCTGGCAAGAATCATTACTAGAGCCCTGGCTGATGGAGTTCAGTGGATTGAGTGTGGGCCTGAGAACCAAAGGATAACAGTTTGATTCCCAGTCAGGGCACATGCCTGGTTTGCAGGCCAGTTCCCAGCAGGGGACCCACAAGAGGCACCCATACACTGATATTTCTCTCTCTCTCTCCTTCCCTTCCCCTCTAAAGATAAATTAATAAAATCTTATAAAAAACAAACAAAAAGAATCATTAATAGGTACTAAAACTACTGAGTTAAAGTATAAGAAACAGAATACTTGCAAAGAATCTCCTCATTGAATACTGATTAATTACAAAGGAAAAACTCCGACTTTACAATGAAGAAACCTGACACAGATCACCTTAGTGACTAAAGTTAACACTACCAGTGAGACATCATTATCATAGGCCTCCCGATTATGACAGACTGAGAAGGGTATGATGTTACTTCTTCAGTATTTTTTCCAAAAATGCCAAACCTAAACTGAATCATGAAGTTAGACATCGAGGGACTTCTACAAAATAACGGGTTTGTACTATTTAAAAGTGACAAGGTCATAAATAATAAAGATTGAGGCAATATTCCATATTTAAGGAGACTAAGGAGGTACGACAAGTAAATGCAATGTATGCTTCTGAGTTGGATCACAGATCAGAAATAAAAGTTAGTGGAACTGGTTAAATTTCAATAAAGTTTCACATAGTTTATCATTGTTAATTTGTTTTTAATAATTTGCTTTTGATAATTATATTATGGTTATGACAGTGTTAGGTGGTCAGTAAAGGACATAGATGAACTCTTCATACTACTTTTGCAATATTTTTACATTTATTATTATTTTTTAAGATTTTATTTATTTATCTTTAGAGGGGAAGGGAAGGAGAGAGGGAGAGAAACATCAATGTATGGTTGCGTCTCGTGCATCCCCTGCTGGGAACTGGCCTGCAACCCAGGTATGTGTCCTGACTGGGAATCGAACTGCAATCGTTTGGTTTGCAGGCCCGTGTTCAATCCACTGAGCTACACCAGCCAGGGCTACATTTATTAATTTTAGAGAGAAGAAGGCAGGGGGGAAAGAGAGAGAAACATCAATTTATTATTTCACTTTTTATGCATTCATTAGTTGCTTCTTGTATGTGCACTCATGGAGACTGAGCCTGCAACGCTGGTGTATTAGAATGATGCTCTAACCAACTGAGCCACCTAGCCAGGGCCTACTTTTGCAATTTTTAGTAAGTCTGAATTAACTCATAATGAAAAATTTAAAAACAAGAAAACAAAGACCCAAATGCATATTATAATCACCAGAATTTTTCCCTACTGGCAACCAGGAAAGAAAAGTTAGATTAAGGGGAAAACTTAAAAGCTTTGATTTTTCAAGTTGATTAAAAAATTCTTATTCATCAACGGAGAAGTTATTCAATGTTTTGAGCAGAGAAGAGCAAGATTAACAGAATTTTGTGAGAGAAATAACCTGGCAGGGTGGGCAAAAAGAACATGAATAAGAGACCAGTTAGAAGACTGTTACAGAAATAAAGAGGTGAAAGGGTAGGGAAAGGGTGTAGGAATGAAAATAAATGACTAAATAAGAGATACTAAGAAGAAAGACTTGATGGAATTTGACATTTGATTTGATCATGAGGATTAATATCTGAAGCGTGATACTATTAGCAGAATAGGGAATTCTGAAGAACTGCAATTTTGAGAAGTCAAAGTGGTAAGAAGATGGATAAGGTGAAAAAAATAAAAGCCAGACATTTTTTAAGTTGTAGAGACAAAGAATTGGGTTGACTGAAAAGTTTGTTTGTCTTTTTCTGTAAGATGGCTACAGTAGACCTTAGCTGTCTTTTAACTTTAATCAAAACAATTTGTTAGACTATATTGTGATAGTTGTCATATCAGTGTGAATTTAAAAAAAAAACTTGTCAAAATTGGTGAATTTTTATGTAGCCATTTTAATAAAATAGTAATAACAATAGTAGTAGTAGTAGTAGTAGTAGTAGTAATAACAATAACAAAGCTTTATTATTTTAAGAAAGGTTTTTAAAAAAGCAACTGAAGAGCCCTGGCTGGTGTAGCTAAATGGATTGAGTGCGGGCCCGTGAACCAAAAAATCGTGGTTTGATTCCCAGTCAGGGCACATGCCTGGATTGCATGCCAGTTCCCAGCAGGGGACGCACGAGAGGCAACCACACAATGCTATTTCTCTCCCTCTCTCCTTCCCTTCCCCTCTAAAGATAAATAAATAAAATCTTTAAAAAAAAAGCAACAGAAAAGCAAAAATAGATTTGTGCAGGGTATGGAGTAGGCACTGTGACTTATCAAAGGTGTCAAAAGTAGTTTGTGAAGTCTCTTGGTAGCGATTTCTTGATGGAGAATGCTCCACAGTCCAGCAGACCAGTTGAAATTGATAGCCATCCAATTGAGACATTGAGAACAACCAACCTTATACCATGCGGGAGATAGCTGACATAAATATCCAAGTCAATAGTTATTGGTGAAAGTGAAAAATTTGTCTTTTATTTTTGTGAAAGAAAACCACACAAACTTTTTGGCTGACCCAATAATTAATTGAGAACAAAGGAAGAAATAAGGAGTTGAGAACTTTTGTTCCTAAGCCTTTAAAAACAAGAAAGGGTAGGAGCTCTGACAGCACTTCACAGTTACCTAAAGGTACCAGATATGGGAGCTCTACTGCTAACAGGGATGGGCAAGATGGGAATAAAATTCATTTAACAATGGGCCTGAAATAGAATTCATTTTAATTGCTGATTTTAAAAAATTACAATATTCAAGTTAATCTATTTGCTAGGACCGTCTGATTCCTGTGGGCAGGTAAAAGATTAAATACAGAAGATTAATTAAGCACATAGAAATAAAAGAGGCTTCAGTTTAAGCTACAGTCCAAGCATTAGGGTTGGAGGTGGAAGCTAAACACTCCTTTAAAAAGGATGGTTGACCTCTTTCATGTTAAAACCTCACACAGACAGCCATACTTTTGGGAGCATAGAAAAAAGCACAAAGGGCCATAAACCATTTTCAACTCCCATTTAAATTAGAAGTTTTTGTTCATTCTACTGAAAATAACCAAACATACCTTCCATTCGGTAGAATATCTCATCACAATGGTTCGGCACTGATTGTTATATTCCATAATCCCCATTTTGGCTACATCCTCTGGTCCTCTGATCCCCAGTAGCTTATCAATTTCATATTCCTGAAAATTGACAATAAGACTGTTAACAACCTGGCCCTATAAAACAAATGCAATTCAGCAACTCTAAAAAATAAAACATATTTTTAAAAATTAGTTCTCAGACAATCTAGAGAAAATGAAATATAAATAGTATAGAAATGAAGTAGAAGAAACAGTCTGATTACAGTAAAAATTCATCGTACTTATATACATGACAACATTTAATGCTCATTAAAAAAAGAAATCAGCCCTGGCTGGTGTGGCTCAATGGACTGAGTGCCAGCCTATGAACCAAGAGGTTACCAGTTCGATTCCCAGTCATGTAACATGCCTGGGTTGCAGGCATGGTCCCCAGTTGGGGGTGTGTGAGAGGCAACTGACTGATGTTTCCTCTCTTTCTCCTTCCCTTCCCCTCTCTCTACAATGAAATAAATAAAATCTTTTTAAAAATCAAAACATAAGGTTGGCAACTCCCACATACCACAGGTAAGCCATGACAATCCCATCCAAATCTTCTGTCAACATGAAATCCACTCTGGTGAGCATATCTTGTAACTATATCTTTAATTGTCCCTGCAAGTATATGTCCATAATGAGGCAGTCCAGTTGCAAAAGGAGGCCCATCATAGAAAGTAAACCTAACAGATATAATAAAAGTATGTTAAGTAACTTTAAAACAGAAAAATTTGACATTTTTCTATAGATGGCTCTTGGCACAGTGCAGTCTTCAAGAAGAAAAGCAGTGAGACCAGGAAATTCAGATAACTGACTAGATTATTTATGAGAGCCCTGCTTCAAAAAAGCTAGTAATGAGAGCTGGGGAGGTCTCCATTGGGCCACCCAGTTTTCACTGCTTAGTCCACAACATAACCCAAGTTATTCACCCTGACAGTGAACAATTAAGTTACTTATCAGTCCAATAAAGCAACAAGTGCCTATCTCATGAAGTTTTTGGGCACACAAACCAAAGTTTTTGAAACACATGACCAAAAAAAAGGACTGGTCTTTAGGTGAATGGAAGACCTGTATAGGCGGGATATGCCAATAGAAGGCTAGAACTAGTTTAAGTACTTAAATGAGGTGGTGATAATGAGAAAAGTGGAAAGGAAGAGGATGATTATGTACACACTAGTTAAAAATAGTTCAATTTTAAAAGGCTTTTAACACTGGAATTTTATTAAAACATTCAAGTCAATCTTTTTTAGATCTTTTAAAGAAAGTGAATCTAATCTATTAAGAACTCATCCATGTACTGCATATCTACAACTAAGAGTACCCACTATATAGACCTAGGAGACTCTGGAAGTGCAAAGGTGAACACAGAGTTCTTGCCTTAATGGAACACAGCCTAACTAATGATTATTCTTAATGACTCTATCTTTACCAAAGAAATTCACATACTTTGGCCTATGTTTTGACTGCTTTAAGCATTCTTGAAAACAATTAAATTCAGACCAGAACTTCAAGATTTTCTCTTCTTCAGCAGGGAAATCAATGTTTTCTGGAACTTGAATCATTTTGGCACTGCAAGAGAAACCAACTTTATTATTTTCAAAAGAAGGGTCTAGGAGTAAAGATTATCATACATTAAAATGAGTATATATACATTACTACCCCTGACAGTACATGACACTTTAAAAAATAATTATAGCTTTTTTGAGGTAAAGTTCATGCACTACAAAATTCACCTTTTTAAAGTGTACAATTAGGGTTTTTTAGTATATTCACAAATTGCATAACCATCACCATGCTTTAATTCCAGAATATCTTTATCACTGCTCCCTCCCTCTCCTCTAAAAACCTGTTAATCTGCTTTCTGCTTCTATAGATTTTTTTTCCCCTCTGTACATTTTACCTAGTGGAATCATGTATATACAATCTATTTTGTCTGGCTTTTGTTTAGAATTAGGTATTCAAGGTTCATCCATGTCGTAATATGTATTCACATTTTATTATTTTTTTAAATACTGAATGATATTTTACTGTAAAAACATGCCACGTTTTGTTTATTCATTAATCAGTGCATGGACATTAGGACCATTTCCATTTTTTGGCTATTGAACAATGCCATGAATATACATGTATAACTGTTATACATGTTTTTAGTTCTCTTGGGTATATATACCCGAGGAGTAGAATTGCTGGATCATATTCTGTTTACCTTTTTAAGAAACTGCCAAAGTTTTTCCCATAGCTGCTGCACCTTAAAATATTCTTCCAGCATGAATGAAGAGTAGTTTTTCTAAGTCCACGCTCTTTATTACCCATTACTGAATTATAGGAAATCTTAGTGGATAGGAAATGGTAACTCATTGTGGTTTTGATTTGCATTTCCTTAATGATTAGTGATACTGAGCATGTGCTTACTGAGTAATTTTATGTTTTCTTACAGAGCTCATGCCTTTGCCCAATGTATAATTTGGTTGTCTTTTTATTGTTGAGTTGTAAGAGTGCTTTATACTTTCCAGATATAAGCTTCTCAGTTACATAATTAGCAAATTTTTTTCCAAACTGTATCTTTTTCATTTTCATGTTATCTAAAGCACATACTTTTAAACTGGTGAAGTACAGTTTATCTTTTTGTTTTGTTACCTGAGCTTTTGGTGACATATCTAAAAAGCCACAACCTAAAACAAGGCCATGAATATTTAGCTCTTAATATTTTGGCTGTTGATCCATTTTGAATTATTTTTACGTCAAGTGTGAAATAGAGATAATTATTTTTTAAATTACTGCAAAATTTGTGTTCAAATCACACTCTTCACCTATTTTTCAACTACAATGTATTACTTAGTAATCGCCGATGATATGCTTGTAAATGTATATAAAAAAATCTTGGGAAGTCTCTCAAATGACAATAAAAATTCAACAATCTAAAAAGAAAAAAATCTAAAAATAGGTGAGAATTAGTACCTATATCCACAGAACAAAAACCACTTCTGTTGAAATAATCTCATCTCTTGAACCTCATGTTAAACCTCAATAACAGTAATTTGATACTGAGGAATGACAAGCATGACCTAAATAAGAAAATTTAAAGCTAAAAAGATGAAAATCTTACATTCACATAATTCCTAGCTCATTCTTATTTTCTGTTTTATCCTTTTTAATTGCTTATTCAATGCTCACTTCAGCAGCGCATATACTAAAATTGGAACCATACAGAGAAGATTAGCATGGCCCCTGTGCAAGGATGACATGCAAATTCATGAATCTTTTAATTGCTTATTCATGATTTTTGGAATGGACAAACCTTACAGTTCTCTGATTTAATCCCTAGTGAAAGAAGTCTTAAAGTATCCTTATATAGTTTTGCTAATAATCATTTGATCCATCCAGGGCAGCTTAACTATCTGGTGAGCATCCTGAAGTCCATTCCTCCTCAAAACCTACTTAGTATTACTTTATAATTCTAATTAGGTTGGTGACCAGATTTCCAAGTCAACATCAGATTAGAAGGAACTGCTGAAAATGAAAAAACAAACACAGAAGATGGAAAACCTTAAATCTATAAAAGTCTGGAGTAAATGACTTTAGAAATTCTGAAAACATCAAAGCTGAATCACAGTAATTGACTCAAGTCATGAAAACAAAAAGTTTGTTATAAGCATTGCTTTTCCTCTTCTTTTCTTTATTTTTGAGATCCAAGAGTGCTTTTGAGTTTTATATAGGAAAAAAGTAAGAAAGGAACAGGTGGATTGTTTAATTAACTCTACTATCCATTTCTGATTAAATGGTATTAAACAAAAGTTGATGGCATTTTGGATCTTCAGCTATTGTTTGCAACCTCCAGCCTTTCAGGGTGAGAAAAAGGTGTTAGTTTACACATTTACGGATTGGGGTCCTCCTGGTTCAGGGACTACCTTATTCTAGGACAACTAAAACTTATGGGATCACATTGGAAGACTGGATCTTTAGATAACAACATTTATTCCTGTAGCTTTTAATAATCCTCATGGCTGGTCCTACAATTGCCAGGATCTGTGGGAACATTTAAGAGTAGACTTACCATTCCACCTCTGAATGAGGACTCAGTACTTACATTTTAACAAGACCAAGGGATTACCATGTACATCAGAGTGTGCGTCATTACTCTGCAACTATTCTGAGCACATTCAGGACTATCTAGCTAAACTTTTTATCTTTTTTTTTTTTTTGAGAAAATGAGATTTAAGCTTTCTGTGAAGATGGCTCATAACTGTCATAAAAATTTCTAGGGAGCCACTACTCCCCAAAAGACTAAGAATCACGGCATTATTATGCCAAATACAAAGACTCAAAGCAATGGCAATGCACGTTACTTTGAAGAGGCATATTATCAGTAACAAGGCTGTGCTTGCTATGGAAGAGAATAGGCTCCATGTGTAGATCACAGGCTTGCTCTGGCTCCTCACATCCACTGAAAAAGTGTACTTGCACTACAGCATCCAGTAACCACAGGACACTTATGGGTGACAAAGAGAAGGAAAATTAACTTCATTGAAGCTGTGCTCAGGAAAGCAATTTCTTCTTCCTTCTTACTACCATCCAGGTCTCCAAGCTTCCCAATTCTGTAATTCCTTCAGACCTCTTTAGGCTCAACTTCCTGTTCAGCAATTTCTTGATACCCTCTTTGACTTCTACCTCAATAGATTTCAGAAAATAAATCTCATGATCCTCCTTGTCATACCTGCTCCCACTTTTATTTCAACCATAGTTGTAGTTCCACTATTCATTCCTGTTACTGAAATTTCTGAGCCACCTTTAATACCAACAAATGATGCCTATACCCGATTGATCACCAAGTCATAGGGATTTTGCTTCTACTGTTCTTTATAACCCATTGCACTGAGTCAAAGTGAACCCCAGAGGTAGTCCACCTCCAGCCTTTTCTCAGTTTGGTTATATCCTATTGTACAAAGACAGTAACCAAAGCACCGTTTTTATAGACACATACTAAAATAAATATCCATACAGGTGACTCAAATAAACTACAGTACATCAATATCATGCTGGCATTAAAAAGAACAAATCTTAATATATCAAATACATAAACTACCTATGCATATTGAGAAAGGTCATAGCAATAACAATTTATACTATGTGTATTATAACTTTCCAGAGGTTTTTAAAACATATACATTAAATCTCTATTTAAGTAACTTTGTATTTAAATTTAGAAGGCAACCCACCAAATTTAACTATGAATGCCATCAGGGAGTAGGACTGGAGGAGAAGGCATGAATGAACATGTTTTCATATGATCTGACAAGAAGAAAATCTGATTTTTAAAAAATTATTTTTTATTTTTCAGCCTTGGCTGGTGTGGCTCAGTGGATTCAGTGCCAGCCTGAGAACCAAGGAGTCACCTGTTCGATTTTCAGTAGTGGCGCATGCCTGGGTTATGAGACAGGTCCCCAGTAAGGGGCGCATGAGAGGCAAACACACATTGATGTTGCTCTCCCTTTGTTTCTTCCTCCCTTCCCCTCTCTCAAAAATAAATAAAATCTTTTAAGAAATTATTTACTTTTCAATTACAGTTGACATACAGATTATGTTAGTTTCAAGTGTACACCACAGTGACTATAGACAGTATATAAACTACTAAGTGATATCCCAAAATACCATGTACCCACCTGACACCATACATAGTTTCTGATGTGTTAAATGACATTACAGAGGCCGGAGAGTGAAAAAACAATGTTAGTATGCTAATGGCTGCTGAGCAGCTAATAAAATACTGTTCACATGCCTGTTTTGTCTGTTGGAACTTTGGATTAATTTCCAGGTGGCTATTTCCACTTGTTGTTCAGCCAAGCCCCATTCAACACCAGAACTTCCACTTGTTTATACATGGGCTTTCCTGATTGCTGTCTCCAGCCAATTTATGGGAGTGGACATTTTTATATCAAACTCTGTCCTTATACCAGAGCTTGCCACACTTCACCTTCTACTACCCCTTGCCTAAAGCTATCGTACATACTTTCAGTCTTCTTTTTCTTCTCCCTTCCCTCTAACTTAAAGTATAAAACTTGCCAAACTCTGGAACAATGGACATGCTGTCTTTTCTACCTAGCCATGCTACTGGCCCCTAGACCAGTCTAGCTGGCTAGCAGTTTTGGCTCAATAAAATCTTACTTACAAAAGACTCTCAAGTGTAAAGTTAAAGTTTTTTAAACACTTCATACTACTGTTTTGAATCCTGCATACCAGTATAGATTAACCTCCACAATGGAAAAGCTCTGAAGGTAACATTTGTGTATTAAAAAGAAATCCAATGGTTCCTCACTGCCAACAGCATTCTGTAGACTTTTCAATGGAACACTCAAGGCCACCTTATTCTTACCCTAAACTACTAACTACTCTTACTCCTGACTTATTCACTCCTATAAAACTCTAGGTCCAGCTACATCACTCTCTTAGTCACTGCTGCTAAGCAAAACCATTCTCTTCCATCAAGCCCCTTTCTCCGCATACTCTAACGCTTAGCTTAAATGGACTCTTCTTTATCAGGTTTTCAGATTCCTGGTTTTCTGAATACCTCCCTCCCCTGAATCTGCTGCTCTCCTACATATAGTAGTTAATGTGCATTTCACGTTTCACACTCTCCAATTCAACTGTAAACTTGTTGCTGCCAGTAGTACCTTACTATCTAACCTACACTGCGTGCTTATATGGTTAAGTGCTCAAAAAACGTTTGTTTGAATGTGTCCCTTTGTCAGCATCCTTAAGTTTCCTCAGTGATACTCCTACCTGCCTTCCCAATCTATACCACACCATGGGCTCTTCCTGGCCCAATAGCTTTGAAATGTGACAGTTTCGGTGCCACCACTTAGCATGAGCTACAGGAAAAGTTACTCAACCTTTAAACCTCAGTTGTGTCACTTGTTTTAAAAAAAGGCCATAAACATTCACAATGCTAACTTAATCAGTGAAATAACGGCTGTTACAGATCACAATCACATATCATCCATTTAAGCAATTATGTCTTTGCCCACAAATTCCATTCTATTGCTCCTGCCCAGCCACTACATCTTCCCAAAGACATTTAAAGAATAAAATCTACACTTTGCTGCCTTCTCTCCCGTATATATACTTCACTATTTATTCACTTATAGTATTATCTTCAAGGCCCCGAACCTATCGCAGCTCCTCAGAAGCCGTCTTCTCCCACTTCGAAATCCAACAGGTCTTCCTTCCTCCTCCGAGGACACGACCGTTAGTCAGACTGCCAGGGCCCAGGACAAGGCCGTGCTTACTTTCCCTCCAGTCCCAGGTAGCCGGCAAAGACCACCTTTCACGGGAACGTAGTACTTGACCTGTTCTTATGAATACAACGACTTCGAAGTTATTTCTAATTTCGCCCACCTTCCGCACTTCTCCAGTAAGCTCGATCACATCAAATTCCACAAGCACGGAATGTTACCATGATTCCAGTGTGTAACGGAACTTCCAAGGGTTACAAAATCCTGCGAGAACTGATTCATATCCAGTTCCGAGTTCTCTAGCCCACTTACAGCCCCTCCCAATCTTCTCCTTGGAAATAGATACGCACGCAACTAACCCACAGCCCTACAGACATTAAACAAACCTCCAGCAAAACGTGTTCATGAGGTGCAGTACCCGACGGCCCCTATGCGTCTCCCCACTGAAGAAGCGCGTGCAAGCTACCGCCCGGCGACGAAAGGTGATGTAACGCGAGGACGCCGTTCTGCGCCAGCTAATCAGCGTGCGTGGCTAGGCACCAGGGAACAAAGAGAACGGCGATTGGCTGAAGGGTTTGACCACGCCCACCTCCTTGCTAACCTGCGTGCTGGCTGGGTGATTCCAAGCAGCTTGCGTAATAGTGGGAGGGTTCTGAAGTGGTTTCTGGGCTAGGGACTGCTTGGGACAGGCACTGATGGCGGCTGAAATTATGCGTTCTGATGAACGTTGTTGCAGAGGTGCATTCGTTTACCTTTCTATACGTTAGACCAATCAAATCTAACAACAGTGGCTTCGGTAATTGTAGTGTGGGGCTGCGAGCAAGTGGTCCCAATTTCCTAGGTAACCGTAACAGGAAGCAGCCTTAGCGCTAGGACTATTTTACAGTCTAGTTGCAGACATTCACCAAAATCACCCAGGAGTTTGCAAAAATTGCAGATGCCTGAACCACATAGCAGGCCTGCTGAGACTGTCTCTGATGGTGGGTCACAAGAAGCTACATTTTAACAGGCACCTAGATAACTAGCTGCACACTAAAATTCCTGACCTATTTGATCCTCAAGAAAACGCCGAGTTCTCAGTGTCGGGAAGGAGCCGAAGCACGCGCGGTCGCTGGTGTTCCGAGGAAGCCTTCCCTCTAGTCCTGTGTTCTTCAGTGCCACTTCCAGAATTCTGGATTTTACTGCATAAGTTACGGTAATAATTTTATATGGTAATATGGAAAGATAAAACAAAAAGGAAATGTCTAATAACCAACTTTAAAATGGTTTCTCGTTATAAAAATAAAATTACCTTATCTGCTCAACTACATATTTACTATCTACTATGCGTCTGCCTAGTATGTCTAGATCTGCTGGTTAAAGCAATAGAATCCAGAGCCATGCAAAGGACAGTCGACTTCATGCTTTGGCACTGGAGAATAGGAAAGAAATTTTAGGGCTTGACAAATTGAGAGTAATTCTGCATGTGACTGCTTATTGTATCCATTACAGGGACAAGTTGATCTGGCCAAGAACATGTAGAAAGCACTTCCTTAGTAACTTTAAAAACATTTTAATAATCTGTGTAGTGTTCACTTAACAGACACTGAATGTCTAGGAACACAATGTCAGGGATTAGAGTAAGGTGGGTTTCATGTCCTGCCTCAAAAGGGTAATTCTCGACTCAGTACACATTTTGAAGTACTTGGAATGTGTTTTTAAGTGTTTGCATTCAAATTGCTATCTTGTGCAGTTCATCATCTATTCAGATAATCCAGATTGGAACAGGACATACAGAGAGCTCCCAGAGATTAAAAAAAAAAAAAAAAAAAAAAAAAAGGTGAGGAGGACAGGTCTGACAAAATTGGATTAAGAAATACTTTATGGTACTGGTGGGAAATATAGGAAGGCTAAGTATAAGAAAAGATAAGCAAGTAAAAAAAAATAAATTCTAGGAAAAAGTTAAATGTGGTCCAAATACACTACTTGGATTATCATCAATCCCCATCTTCAGAGTAGGAAGTCAACAGGTGTCTAAAACTGAAAAACCAAGAGATCACAGAGTAAGCACTTCAGGTAGAAATATGGAGATAAATTCAGAGGAAGTAAATTGTTGAAGATGCTTTTATCTGGGCAGCAGGATCTGCAGGGTGGGCAAAGCTATGTGATAGCACTTTCATTTTGGAGATGTAGGGTGTTGACAGATTTAAACATGGCCATAAACTGACACTTCTTCCACGGAGAGGTGACAGTCTGTACCCTCTCACTGAGTCTAATTGAGCTCAGTGTTCTGTTTGAACCTACAGAATATAGTGGTAATTAATGACTCAGGCCATTTTTGGGCTAGGCCTTAAGAGACTATCAGCATTTGATTCCTGATCCTAAAACCTAGGTGCAATGCTGTAAGGGAACGCACGGATAGGCACTGAATGGACCATTTTAGAAGTGGATTCACTAATTCCAGCAGATCCACTCCAATGACACTACATGGAGAAAAATGACCAGTCCCCAATGAGTCCTGACCAAATTGATTACTTGTAAGCAAAGTAGTTCTTAATGTGATGAGTTGTTATACAGCAATAGATGAGAAAGTATAAGTGTAATATACATCAAGAGAAGGTGGAACATTTGTATTTATCCTGCTGAGTGGTTGTTTCCATTTTCTGTGAAGTAGTTTGAAGTCTTGGAACTATAGGAATGCTTCTTCAGTTACTTAGTTCCTTGGACCCCATTTACTAAAAAACTTATGTGCTGAGCACCCACTATGTGCCGGAAATGTTTCTAGGTAGTGGGGACAAAATGGATAACCAGAGGACACCCCTGTTTATATTCAGTCAAGACATAAATTAATACTTAATTTCAGATATAGTGGTCCTTTGCTATATTGCAGTTTCACTGTTACTGTTTCTTTCTTTCTTTCTTTTTTTTTTTTTTTTTTTATGATTTTATTTACTTTTAGAGAGGGGAAAGGAGGGAGAAAGAGAGGAAACATCAATATGTGGTTGCCTCCTGCATGCCTTTACTAGGGACCTGGCCTGCAACCCAGGCAAGTGTGCTGAGTGGGAATCTAACCGGGGACCTTTTGCTTCACAGGCCAATGCTCAATCCACTGACCCACACCAGCCAGGGCTGTTGCAGTTTCTTTTAAAATATGTATCTAATTCTGCCCTGGTTGGTGTAGCTCAGTGGATTGAGCATTGGCCTGTGAAGCAAAAGGTCCCCGGTTCGATTCCCAGTCAGTGCACATGCCTGGGTTGCAGGCCAGGTCCCCAGTAGGGGACACATGAGAGGCAACCACACATTGATGTCTGTCTCCCACTCTTTCTCCTTACCTTCCCCTCTCTCTAAAAAAAAATATAAAAATAAAAATAAAGTGGATAACACCTTTTAAAAAAATCTAATTCTATATTACAGAGTTTTCGCTATATTGCAGGATTTTGCGGTATACAGGTGTTTATATATATTATTTGCCTAAAAAATTAAAACAATATTAAAAACGTTAATTCAAACATTAAAATAATATTAAATCAAAATAAAATACATTATGTATTTCATCAGTGGATGAATACTGTACTGTACACAATGGAAATGCACTATGCCACTACCACTTGAGAAAGTTTGCCATGAGATTGTACACGGCGCACTATTTGGCTGAGAATGGAAGGTGACCAACCACAGCATTGTGTTCTGTATCCTGGGTGCTGATTGGCTCAGTGACATAGTATCAGTCTCTTTGCTCTCCCGCACCGTGCCCATATGTTCAGCACCTCTCCTCGTCTACTTCATATCAACATCTGATCACTGTGCATAGTGTTGCTCTGTGGCGTGTTTTTGTGAAAATTTCGTAAAAGTCTGAATTTATTTCAAGCCCTACGATGCCACCCAAATGTTCTGCACCTCTTAAGGCTTCTGGCAGTGAACTCAAGCTCCAGAGGAATATGCTTACCATCAAAAAGGTGGAACTTCTCAACATGTGAAAGGCAAAAAGCTACACAGCTGTAGGCCACCATTACAGGATCAACAAATGTACTGTTCACTACAAAAAGATGAGAAGAATATTAGGTCTACTGCAACAATGACTTTTAACAAGACTGCAAGGAGGGTGGTCATTTCCCACAATAAGGCCATTGTGAGGATGGAGTCTGCATTGGCCCTATGAATAAATGACTGCAGGAAGAAGAGTATCTTGCTGGATACCAACATCATCCAGATGAAGGCCAAGAAACTTTATGATACTTTACAGAAACACAGATGTCCACAATGGTGATGAGGATGAAAACGCAGAAGCAAGACACTTTGGACTCAAGAGCATTTCTCTGCCTGGAGAAGCTGCCTCTGTGGATAAAGAGCAGCACCAGCAACTCCCCATAACTATGTTCATCACTCGTACGAAGAGATCAGTTACACCTATACCTTTAGTGGAAATAGAAGTTACCGCCCAGGGTGAAGATACTGCAACACCTGATGAAGCACTGCCTTCAAATGAGCTGTAATGCTCTTCTTGACTGTGCAGTACATTCATCTCATCATCATCACCTTCATCATCAGTACTGCACAGCTACATAATTCATCTTCATTCAAGTTGTAGTATACTTCACTGGTGAGTACCCAGATAGAATTTTATGTTAAAATTATGTAGGTTTAAGAGTGTAGAAAGTATTTAAGAGCATATGAACAAGTGTTTATAAGAGTGTGAGAAAGGTTAATAAGAGAGTGGGAAAGGTTTATAGGAGTGTGGGGTTTATAAAGCCTTAAAAATATATATAATAAATATAACGTCGCCACTTTGTGGATTTTCACCTATCATGGGGGTCTCAGGAACGTCAGGAACGTAACTCCCACGATAGGTGAGGGATCACTGTGTACATATTATGGCTTCATAATAACTTCTTGAGATTGTTTACATAATACTACCTTGTACAGAAGCTAGCTTGATAGGATTATCTGTCATTCATCCTAGCCCAAATGATTTAACAAGGTATTAAATCTATTTCCCTATAGGGACCCAGAGTCCTGACTCCTAACTGTGACCTTTTAAACACTTGTATTATTCAAAAATCTCTGGTCTAACTAGAATTTTAGGATTGATGGGTGGCCTCTACCATTCCTGGAGGCCAAGGACAGGAAAACTGTATTTGGTATCCTTTTCTGGTCTTCCTAGAACTCTCCTATGATGTTGGTCTGAAATGTCCTACATTTAAGTTAGGTATTCAACAGGAAGCAAGTACAAAACTCAAGTCTGACTTATCTTCAACCCATTAAACCAAAAACACAAAATGGAGATAAGATGTATTTAATACAACCAGCAAGAAATATTTCAAGTAGTCTATACTTCACAAAAAACATAACTTGTAAAACACAAGTGCTCTGACCCATGCGTTTTAAAAGGCTTTAAGCAAAGTTTGCATCGGAAGATGCCCATTAGTTATTGATGATAGAGGGTAAAGAGATTATACACAAAAAATATTTTCTTTTTGAGGGATTATATTGTTCTTCATAAAAAATGTTCGGATTAATTTTTTTTCAAGAACCTAGGAATAAACAGAGAAAAATCCACAGAAAACCACAGCAACCAGAATGATACCCATCATTAAAAAGTTAGATTTTGACTATTCCTTCATTCCAATTTCTTGTCAACTAAAATTATTTTTTAGTTCATCCAATTTCCATAGGCGAGTCTTCTGAACAAGCAGTATCAAAACCAATAATGACACTTTTTATTTTAGTTTCACTCTCCTTTTGGCATCTTTATGTTTCTTCTGACAATCCTATAAAAACATAAAATCAAAAAAGCCTTAGTTAAAAGTAAATGTAAGTTATTATCAAGGAGTTTAGTAACTATAAAGTAAAGCTTAGGGTTAATTAGTGTTGTGGAAACCATTTTAGAAGTGCTCACCTGGAATGAACAGGAACTATTTAGATTTTGGGGTTTAAGTGTTTACAATGGAAACTCTAACTCAGTCTTTCAAAAGTTTCATGATTTCCTGTTATTTAAGGAACAGGACTGGAACTCGGACCAGACACTCAATTCATCCAGTTTTCAGTCTCTTCACTTGTACTGTGTGTGTTGGATTAAACAATGTCAACGTTCCCTTCCACCACTGTCAGTTGTCATCCTTTTTGTCTTAAGTTGCATACCTTATTACCTTATTCTTATACAAGGCATATATTAACACAAAGATAACACTGTATCTATTTATGGAGATAATGAAGATACAATTACTCACCCTACGCAAGTTGTTTGCTCTGGCCTCCCAAAAATTCCTATTGACATTACCTTCCATTCCTTTCCAGAATAAGTCAGAACCTACCAAGGGAAAATAAAAAAAGATGAGGCAATAAATTAATACCAAAGAGGATAAAGTTCTAGTGCTGACATTATCAAGGTCTTTAATTCTACTTAGGACCTCCCCACACCCTCAATTTATACTAATTTTATTACTTTAAAAAATTTTAATTACAGTTGACATGCAATATTATATTATTTTCAGATGTATGCGCCAGTGATTAGACATTATAGAATCTACTAAGTGATCATCCCGAGAAATCTTGTATCCACTGACATCATACACATTAGAATATTATTGACCATATTCTCTGTGTTATACTTTACATCTCCATAACTATGCTAACTACAAATTTGAACTTCTTAATCCCTTTACTTTTTTCATCCATCCCCCCAATCCACCTCCATCAGACAACCATCAAAAAGTTCTCTGTATCTCTAAGTCTTGTTTCTGTTGCTTGTATATTTTATTTAGATCCAAAAATATATAATGGATATATATGTCCATTTCATGATTCATATTTTTTTCTTCTTAAAGAAGCCCCTTTAACATTTCATTTAATACTGGTTTGAGGGTGATGAATTCCTTCAGTTTTTCTTGTCTGAGAAGCTATTTCTCCAGTGAGTCTAAACAATAGCCTTGCCGGGTAGTCTTGGTTGTAGGTCCTTGCTTTTTATCACTTTGCATATTACAAGTGCCCAGGAGATGCCAAGCTGTGAACTATGGCTGGCTGCTACTAGTGCCAGAACGAGGCCCCTAAGTGAGAGGTACAGAAAACACTAAGGCCAGATGCTACTTATTTGAAAGGTTTTAGGAAAGTATGAAGCATGAGCCAAGAAATGCTATTGGTATAGACAAGTCAGCAAAATAACTTTGGTGGGCCTGCAAACTGGTGGTGTGGGGTCTCAGGGAATCACTGAGGTGGGGCAAACAGTGATAAGTTGATGGAAACTCAGATACAGAGTATATAGAGTATACTCTATAGTTGGGAGAGGGCTCAGTAAAGGCACTATAACCTATGCCAGCACTTCTGCTTGGGTGAAAGCTGACCCTCCAGCTCTTGACCAGATGCCAGACAGAGTTGCTCCCCATATGTCTCTTGTACCTTTCAAGCTGCTGTCCCAGTGTTGGAACTCAGAGGGAGTGAGTCCAAGTTAGTCCATGTGAAGGCCCTGCCTAGGACTCCAGAAGCCCTTCATCTCACCCAGCCACAATGCCTGTTTTTTTCTTTTTAGTATTTATTTACTTAGAGAGAGGTGACAGGAAGGAGAGAGGGAGAGAAACATCAATGTGTGGTTGCCTCTCATGTGTCCCCCACTGGGGACCTGGCTGCAACCCAGGCATGTGCCCTGACTGGGGATTGAACGAACCGGCCACCTTTTGCTTCACAGGCCCGCACTCAATCCACTGAGCTACACCAGCCAGGGCTGCCTGCTAGTTTTTAGAGTTAGAAGTCATAGGGACTTCTCTTCCTGTCACTGGAACTCTGGGCTGGGAAACCTGGTGTGGGACTGTGACACTTCACTCTCAGGTGGCACCTCTGCAGCTAAGATATTCTTCTCGATTATTATCTGCCACATGTAGGTGTTGGACTAGTCTGTTCCATGTCTCCAACCCTACCAGTCTTGTGCCTTTCTTATATCCTTAGCTGTAGGACTTCCCTTCAGCTCAGTTTCAGGTAGCTGTGAATGATGATTGTTCTGTAGTTTACACACACACACACACACACACACACACACACACACACACACACACTCTTTTATGATCCTTAATGAGCTTGTTTTGTTTGGGGGAATTGCTTAAATGGTAGAAAAACCAATCCTACATTTTTAGTACACTAAAAGTTCATGTGAAAACTCTGAGGTTGTTGTTGAACTTCTCATTTCTTCAATCCTAGCACATAAACCATATATATATATATATATATATATATATATATATATATATATTGATTATGCTATTGCAATTGTCTTATTTTCCCCCTTTATTAGCCTCCGCCCTGAACATCCCTTCCCACCCACATTCCCCCACTTTAGTTCATGTCCATGTGTCATATTTATAAGTTCTTTAGCTTCTGTATTTCCCATACTATTGTTACCCCCCCATCTATTTTCTACCTACCATCTATGCTACTTCTCCTCTGTACCTTTTCCCCCCTCTCCTCCTCCCACTCCCCTGTTGCTATCCCTCCATTTGATCTCTATTTCTGTGATTCTTTTCCTGTTCTAGTTGTTTGCTTAGTTTGTTTTCCTTTCAGGTTTGGTTGTTAATAACTGAATTTGTTGTCATTTTACCGTTCATATTTTTTATCGTTTCTTAGATAAATCCCTTCAACATTTCATATAATAAAGGCTTAATGATGATGAATTCCTTTAACTTGACCTTATCTGGGAAGCACTTTATTTGCCCTTCCATTCTAAATGATAGCTTTCCTGGGTAATCTTGGGTATAGGACCTTGCCTCTCATGATGTAGAATTACTTCTTTCCAGCCCCTTCTTGCCTGTAAGGTTTTTTTGAGAAATCAGCTGATAGTCTGATGGGAACTCCTTTGTAGGTGACTGTCCCTTTTTCTCCTGCTGCTTCTAGAATTCTCTCCTTCATTTTAATCTTGGGTAATGTAATTATGATGTGCCTTGGTATGTTCCTTCCTGGGTCCAACTTCTTTGGGACTCTCTGAGCTTCCTGGACTTCCTGGAAGTCTATTTCCTTTGCCAGATTGGGGAAGTTCTCCTTCATTATTTTAAGTTTTCCATTTATTGCTCTTCCTCTTCTCCTTCTGGCACCCCTATGATTCAGATGTTGGAACATTTAAACATGTCCTGGAGGTTCCTAAGCCTCTCCTTATTTTTTTCCATTTTTGTTGAATTGAAAAAATTCAATTCATTCTGTTTTGGTTGAATGTTTCTTTCTTCCTTCTGGTCAACATCGTTGATTTGAGTTCTGGTTTCCTTCTCATCACTGTTGGTCCCCTGTACATTTTCCTTTATTTCATTTAGCATAGCCTTCATTTTTTCATGTAATTCGTGACCAAATTCAACCAATTCTGTGAGCATCTTGATTACCAGTGTTTTAAACTGTATCTAACCTATCAGATAGCCAATCTGATAGGCTGGCTATCTCTTTGTCACTTAGCTCTATTTTTTCTGGAACTTTGATCTGTTCTTTCATTTGGGCCATTTTTTTTTTTTTTTTGGTCTTGTTGTACCTATTACGTAGTAACAGGCAGAGCCTTAGGTGTTCACAAGGGTAGGGCAACCCAGGTTGCTGAGTTGTGATGCTCTCTGTGGGGGAGGGGACAGTGCTGCTTGCTCTGCTCTCTGCTGGGTTTTCAGTCACTTCTCCCACTTCCCACAATCAAATTGGGCCCCTCTGGTGCTGGTTCCCAGGTGGGTGGGCTTGTGTATGTTCTAGAACCCCATGGGTCTCTTCAATGAACTCTCCTTTGATGCTGGGAGTTTTTTCCGCTGCCAACTCAACCCCCCGCAGGTGTTTTCAATCAGATGTTTCTTTATTTCCCTGCACTGGAACCCTGGGTTAAGAGTCTGTCTCACTCCCTAGTTGTTCCTCCTCGTTTATCTGCACACGAATGTGGGACCTTCTGCTCTGCCAGCTTCCTCCTTGCCATGAGACCGCTTTGCCCGGCTGCTCATCTTCACCCCTTCTACTCGTCTGGATGAATGTTTCTTTAACTCCTTGGTTATTAGACTTCCATACAGTTAGATTTTCTGGGATTGCTGGTGGTTTTTTGTTTTTAAATTTGTTGTCCTTCTTTTGGTTGTGTGAAGAGGCACAGTGTTATCTATCTACACCTCCATCTTGGCCAGAAGTCCTGTAGTTTAGTTATATTTTTGATGTGGTTGTGGAAGGAGGCAAGTACCATGTTACCTATGCTGCCTTCTTGTCCAGAATGAATAGGCATGATCTAGGGCTCCTCTGGGGAAACAACTGTAGTTCTAGATTTGTCTGGAATCCCTGGGTGCGGATTTCCTTACTGCAGATGTAAGGATTTATGCTAATTTTCATAAATATTTTGTTTTCTTATAAGATGAAAATGTAAAGTTTCTAGGATTTTATTGTTTATGTACAATTTACTATTATGTAACTTGGTTTATCTTTGTGCTAGGATTTAAGAAATGAGAAGTTCACCAACAACCTCAGAGTGTTCACATGAACTTGTGTACTAAAAATGTAAGATTGTTTTTTCTACTGTTTAAGGAATTCCCCCAAGCAAAACAAGCTCTTGTTAAGGATCATAAAAGAGTGAGGGAGGTAGTAGGTGGAGCTCTCAGCCTTTCAGCTTTATAAGTCAACCTGTATCAGTCTAACAGAGTGGGCTAAACAACATGATTATGCAAAGGGTTAGAATTTTTGCCAAACAGTTCTTACTTGGATGCATGTTATTAGATCAGAACATGCAGTGCTGAAAGCTGTACTACTACCAGTTCTATACCATTTAATCAAAAAATGCACTCACCATGAAGTCTTTCGTCATTCTTGGAGAAAAAGAAAAATCTAGTGGTCTCTTTCTCAGGTAATGATATTTCTCTAGACAAAGAGATTGGTTGATTAATTTCTATATTTGAGAAGCCATATTTACATTGGAAATATAAACAAACTATTCTTTAAGTATGCTTTGTGTTTTGCTTATTTTGCTGAATTAAAGTGACTTCATGCTTTCTAGTCAACATTCTTCTCTTTTATCTGATACTTTGGTGATGAAGAGTTTTTTAAGTACAAGCGCTATCTTCCCCACAACAGTTGTTGATACTCTCACCCCTACCATTGCCACCTTGTTTGCCAATGTTTCCCATGAGCTGGTAGCTGCAAAATCCTCCTTTTAGAACAGTGTGACTCTCCTTTCCCTGTACACATCATATCCCTGCCCCCTGTGCTATCCATATCTCAAGAAAAGGAAATTTGCTCCTCATTACAAAAAGGCCACAGAATTCTCTAAAGAATCTAAGAGAAGAAAATTAAGTTGTCTTGAAAGGTAAGCTTAGATACTTCTAGAATATTTCTAAAGCATGTCTAACTCAGCTTTTATAAATTATAAGGTATACCTATATAGTAACAATTTACTTACCCAGGTCTGGGCTTTATGTCATTTGTTTCCTCAGAAACATCTTCTTCTTCTGAACTGCCATCTTTGAAATAAGAAGCTCCCTGCCAGGAATTCTTACCAGGTTTCACTGTCTCAACTTTATAGGTCTCTATATTGTCATGATAATAAAAGATGACAGGATTAAAACTAATCACCAAGTATTTCTGAACATACCCATTTGATTACTTTCACCATGTTAGCATATCTCTGTATATTGACAATATCTTAATCATTAAAAATAGGTAGTAACTTTTAAGATTTTAAACAGGGAGAAGCTACTGTCATATTTTTGGCATTGCTAGGGTAATCTTAAAAGGAATATAGTAATATCATAAAAAGATATAAAAAAATAAAGGTTTATAAATGGGGAACATAATTTAAAAAACAAACAAAATAAGCGTGGCACCTATGGTAGCATGAGAAATCTAACACAATGTAGTGAAGTCAGGTTTCCCTCCTGCTTTTACATAGATGAGAAAAGGTATATATGTTTACATTTTCAATTTCCAAAACCTCTTTCTAGAACTGCTGAAAAAAGTACTGATAAAAGATGTAGACAGTCACCTCAAAAGTCTCCCAAATTTCCCAACTTAAAACACACCTTCCAGGTTGCTGAGGAGACTTAATACTCATTTTTAACTGCTGATCTTTCAAGCAGAAACCATTGTAGTTAGGTGTGCATGTATTCTACTACATAGATCTATAGTAGTTTTTTCAGTGAAGTTCCACAAAGGCTGAACTTCCGTTCTGACTACTAGGTGAAGAGTAGCCCCCTAAGAACAAGCGTTGTTAACTTTTGTACTATATTGGCCTTCAGAAGTAAATCTTCTGAAATGTAATGCAAAACTACACATACATACTGTTTTTGATACTTTTCTTTAGATTCTGGCAACTCTTCAAGGACAAAGTTCGAAACAACTGACATATTGATGAAATAGCATATCTGCATCAAGCCAATGTTATCTATTTCTTCCTTTACTTTACCATATACTCGTAGTTGTGGCTTTCCATAAGTCATGGCTTCTCCACATGCATTTAAGATATGAAACTAAATACTTGACTAACTGTACTTCATGATTTCTTTCTACTCTATAGAAGACATGCTGCACATTACTCTCCAGCTTCCCTTCAACTGGCTAGAAGTTTGCTCCCTTAAAGCAGAAACAATGTTTTGCTCTGTTAAACACAGCTCCAGGAACATTGCATTTATGATCATGTGATATTGAACTTCATGTTGTTTATCTAGGTGTAAAAAAAACCCCTTTCTTCAGGTAATGTTAAATAACTACACTTACTGTAGACTCAGTGAATTAAGTTTCAACTGTCTAGTATGAAATTGTTTAAAAAATAAAAGTACCTTCCTTTATATCTTTAGTGTCTGAATCAAAAAAGGAAAATGTGAACCCGCTGGACTGCTTGGCCCTAGTCTTCAAAACTGCAGGGTCATGGACTTCCTTGGCTTTCTCTCCATCACAGTCTTCATTCCAGAGCACGCCTTCCTTTTCATTGGTATCTTCTGTAGCTTGGAATATTTCTTTTAAATCCATAGCAATTTTGTAATACATTTCTTTAGACACCACAGGTAGCTTCTCAGCTTCCTCTCTTTTCTTCTTTCGCTTTGCTTTGCTGCATTGACATAAACATGTGCACCAAAATGGAACAGTCAATGTTTGGACAATTTCCAAAAATCAAAAAAGGACAATAACATGACTAAATTTAATTCCATCCTTTCAAAATCCAGCAGGATCCACATTTATAAAACTATGCTTATAAAAACAGAATCTTGACCATTAAGCTTTTTATACACAAAACTATTTCAAACAACTCCAGTAAACATGAGTCATGTTTCTTATCCTCTGAACTACAATTCAGAAATTAAACCTGAGATACTAGCTTTGAGTTAAAAGACTCACTTAACCCCAATGTACCTCAGTTTCCTTACCTGCAAAATGAACATGATAAATCAATCTAAAACCTTCCAAAGTTCGAAAATTCTGATGAGTTTACAAAACTGGCAGAAAAGGCTTTAGTTATAATTCTGCTTTAAAAATGAATTATAAATATGCTATGTCTAGTTTTGGAATGAAATTTTTATAGTGCTATAAATCTGCTCTATATTTAGGAGAGATGCTTTTCTCTTTGATCTTTGATAAAGAGTTACATGGCAGTTTTCAATATCAAGCTTTTAGTTAATAAAAGATTAAAATCCATTTTACTATTAGAATTGACTCCAGGTATCAGGGCTAGAATTTTAACTGTATTAAGTAGTAAGTGAACAAGATGTCTTAAATGATCATCTAAGTGGTGGAGACTATCTCACATTAAGAAAAAAATTTTAAGTTTTTATTTACTTATTTTTAGAGAGAGTAGAAGGGAAGGAGAAAGAGAGGGAGAGAAACACCAATGTGTGGTTGCCTCCTGTGTGTCCCCCACTGGGGACCTGGTCACAACCCAGGTATGTGACGTGACCGGGAATCGAACTGGCTTTCCCTTGGTTCACAGCCCACACTGTCTACTGAGCTACACCAGCCAGGGCTCACAGTAAGAAATTTGTGATACGGTTTAATACTTCCAACCTAGATACGGTTTAAGAACTATGCCTCCTATGAAAGCAATGTGTATAAAAAATGGGGTCCTTTAGACAGTTCCAAGTGACTACCATTGATCCATGTAGTAGTGGTTTTAAAGTGGTCTAAAGATCCTTTGATACTTCCTTCTCTAAGGGGTAAGATGAATTATCCCATTCCTTGAGTGTGGGCTGGACTTAATTTCTTTAACCAATAGAATAAGGCAGATGTGATGGTGTGTAACGACTGACACTAGGGTCATAGAATAAAGTTTGGTTTTCTCCACACTCTCTCCCTTTTCTAGATCACTGGCTTTGGGGGAAGCAGTTGCCATGTTGTAAGGGTACTCAAATTGCCAAGTGGACAGGCCAACGGGGCAAGGAACTGAGACTTACTGCCAATGACCCTGTGCCTGATCCATCTTGCAAATAGATCTCAAACCTTCAGATACTATAACCCTAATTTACATCCTTTAAAAACATATTAATTAATTGATTAATTAATTAATTAATTAGAGAGAGGGGAAGGGAAGGAGAAAGAGAGAGAAAAACATTAGCGTGTGGTTTCCTCTCACGCAGCCCCCACTGAGGACCTGGCCCACAACCTAGGCAGGTGCCCTGACTAGGAATTGAACTGGCAACCCTTTGGTTTGCAGGCCCACGCTCAATCCACTGAGCTACACCAGCCAGGGCCCTAGTTTACATCTTGACTGCAACCTTTTGAGACCCCCTGAACTAGAACTATCTAGAAGCACTCCCAAATTCCTGTCCTAGAGAAACTGGAACCTAATAAATGTTTGAGTTTCAATGTGTTGCATTTTGGGGCAATTTTTAATACAGCAATACGTAATTTATACAGATTTGGGGACCCATTAGTGGGGTGTAATATAAACTTAAATGTAGGAGTGCCAAGGAATACTGCCAAGCAATAGGCAGAAATTAGCAAAAGCATAAAGAGCCTTAAAGAAACTGTTAGTAGAAACTATATGGCCTGTAAGGAGGATGCAATAAGGAGGGCTTGCAGAAAAGTGAGGTGATGCTACTAGAAACTGAAGGAAAGGGGATCCTTGCTAAGTAGCAACAGAAAGTTTAGCCACACTGTCATCTTTATTACAGTGGAAATCAGAAAATGTGCCTAATCAACAGGTGATCTAACTAGGGAGATATCCAGGAAGGTGATGAAGGTATTTGCTGTTACTTGTCTTGCTGCTTACCATAAAATGTGAGCAGAGACAATAAAACCAGTGGAAAAAAAATTTATAAAAAGTCAGAATCTCATGGTATGGAAGACTCCTAATCTTCAGAAGACAAATGACATAAAATGTAATAAATGGGTTCTAAGAAAAGATCAAATCTTAGACTCTCAGAAAAATATGGTCTAAAGTAGATGTTGGCAACCTACAGCAAATGGGCCAAATCCAGGCTGCTACATATTTATGTATGCACCACAAAGAATATTTTTATAGTTTAAATAGTTGGGGAAAAAAGTAAAAGATGATTTCATTACATTCAGAAATTATGTAACACAAACGTCAGTGTCCTGCTCATAGTTTTATTGGAACACAGGCTCCCTCATTTGCTACAGAGGCCAAGTGAAGTCACTGTAGCAGACCACCTTCCCTGCAAAGCCAAATGTTTTACCATCTGACCTTTTGCAGAAAATCTGTATGCTCCAGTCTACATATAAAACAAAATCCTTTGTTAAGACATAACACATAGGTCAGAAAGAACAATTGGTCAAACAATAAGGCTTGTAAGGCGTTTAAAGTTGATGTATCTCAGCAGAAGCTCACAGTAAGATGGGCTGATCTCAAAATGATTTCTGGTGTGGCTTTGTCTAATACAATAAACCCCAAGAATATTCACAAGAGATTCACAAATATTTTAAGAGAATTATATCAATATTAACAGAAACACACCTAGCTTGGACTGATAAATACAAAGACATTCCACCATGTACAGGCTTTCAAACTCCCATATTCCTAAAACCCCAAAACTGGATGAGACAATCACTGAGCTGCAAACATATGTATTAAAAACACAAGGATGACCTTAAAAGGCAGAGTCAAGAACTATGGAGAATTACTCTCAGGCTCTCAGTTCTAATAAAAGATCTCACAACATCTGGCTATCTAGATTTATTTCAGAACTCCTAAACCAGTGACGACCCCTTCGTGTCTTCTGTTTTCTTCCATTGGGTAGTAGTGCTTACATTGGTTTGTCTATGATTGTAGCACATCACATTCATAGGTCTTCTAATTGAAAAAACTGCACTCGCCCTGGCTGTGCCTCAGTGGATTGAGTGCTGGCCTGCGAACTGAAAAATCGCTGGTTTGATTCTCAATCAGGGCACATATTTCGGTTGTGGGCCATGTCCGCATTTGGGGGCATGTGAGAGAAAACCGATTGGTGTTTCTCTCCCTTCCTTTCCCACTCTCCCAAAATAAAAAAAAAAAAGAAAAGAACACTGTACTCAAGGTTTTGTATTCAAAGAACAACAGATAAGCCTCATATGCACCTAGATCTGATTTGGATGACCCGGATTCTGAACGAATACTGTAGAGAGCTAAGTCTTCTGGGGAGTTTTGGGTAAAAGTGAATATTATATATGTGGTAGGAATGTACACAATTTGTAGCCAGGGGGTAGATATTGTGGTTTGAAATAAATGTTTGTGGTTTTAACATGCTAAGTTATGGACAATTTGTTATGTGGCAATAGATAATACACCCCAGATGTAAATAAAATTAATATATTATACAAGACACCTTCCACTTATGTAGCAATGTGGATTATCATAAATAACATAAAAAGTTTTTATATTGCAGGGAGTATTTATGCTAGTTCTACTTTGGTCTGATATGTGATCCTTTTCAAAGGAAACCTTTAATTTTAGAATTATTTTAGACTTACAAAAAAGTTACAAAGAAAGTACAGCATTCCTAAATAAACTTCACATGGTTTCCTCTCATGGTAGAGTCTTATATAAATGTGATACAATTCTCAAAACTGCAAGATTAACATGGTTACGTTACTAGCAACTAAACACAAACTTTATTTTCATTTTACCAGTTTCTCCACAAATGTCTTTTTTGTTCCAGGATCTAATTCAAGGTACCACATATATTTAGTGACTGTAACAGTGGAAAAATGAAGGAATTAAGCCAGGTCACATTACTGTTTGCTTCATATATTTGGCATATTTATCAAACTGACAGCTTATCTATAAGAAATAGAAGCTCCTACCAGAGTCAAGTAGTGGATTGAATGGATGCCCCCAAAAGATTTATGTCCAGGCCCAAATTCCTAGAACCTGTAAATGTTACCTTATTTGGAAAAAAGGTCTTTGTAGAGTGGTTAGGACCTTGTAACAAAGAGATTACCCAGGATTATCTAGGTAGGCTCTAAATGCAGTCACAAGTATTCCTGTAATAGACATAAGATGACACAAACACAGAAGAGAGGAGGCCATGTAAAGATGGAGGCAAAGATCGAAGTAACGTAGCCACAAGCCAAGGAATTCCAAGAATTGCTGACAGTCACCTGAAGCTGAGAGACATGTGAAATGGATTTTTACTCTGAATCTCCAGAAGAAAAGCAGGCCTTCCAATACCCTTGATTTCAGAATTCTAGCCTCCTGAACTGTGAAAAAATAATTTTTGTGATTTTAAGCTACCAAGTTTGTGGTAATCTATCACAGTTGCTATAAGAAACTAATATAAGTACAACGCACCATACTAAAGTCGGAACACCTATCATAATTTAAATGCATGAGATTCCTTTGTCAAAGGTACGGCTCTCTCCACCATATCCATTAACTCCACACTAACTTTTTCCTCCTCTGCTCTTAAACTAAATACAGTGGAGGCCAATGGATGGGATATTGGTTACTATCTATCTACTTTTTTCATTGTCTGAAATAAGATTAATTCATATGATCCTGCTACTAAAAGAACCAGCTTGATTTACCTTTCTTTTGGTTTATCATCTCTCTTTTTTTCATAAGTGACATGGTCGTGTCTTGTTGGATCATAGTGTATGATGTCCCTATGTAAAAAAAAGAGTGGTAAGTTCGAAGAGATAAATCAAAACACTAATACAAAAAGTTAATAGCAAACTGTAATTCAACATTGGAGCTATTCTGATTTTTGAGCAAGACAAAGTTATATAATATTAAAACCTCATTAGAAATAATCATATTTTAAGTTATCTAGTTTTGAGTTTCCCTGGATTTTTGTTAATATTAAAAATTATTTTAAACATACTAAAGTATACACAAATAAAATGATATACTGTTGGGATCTACATAAAATATTTCAGGGGGGAAAGTAGAAGCAAGTGCATAAAGATACAGAAAAGAAAACTGGTCACATGTTGGTGACTGTAGAAGCTGGTATACAGGCATTATTAATATCAGTTTCTCCACCTTACATTTTTAAAATTTTCTATAATATATTTATTACCATTTAAACCACTGTCTGTTTGACTAATGGAAGCAATGCTGCTATGCTATCTAAGAAATAACTTAAGATTAGTTTCCTGACATTGAATCACTGGGTCAAAGGTAAATATATTTTTAAGGGTCTTAATACATACTGCCACTGCCCCAACTCAGGAAGTTTGAAATGGCCTAGTTTTACACTGAGTTCAAGAAGGCACTTATGGCAAAGGAAAATAAGGTGGAATGAGACAGACATAAACCATACTTAAATCTCTTAGCAGCAACTGATCCTTTGCTTGCAGAATTGCTTAAGCTGATATGCAAAATACTCTGCATAATATTCAGGGCTTTCAACTTTTCTGCAGCAAGCTCTTCTTCCTCAGTAGTTTTCTTTTCATTTACCTCTTAGAGGGAAAAAGACAATTAGTAATCTCTTGGCAAATATAACTTGAGAAGTCTCAATCATCAAGTATTTACCATTCACCTGAACACATTAAAATAAAAAGAAAAGCTTAACCTCATTTTGCTAATCTGCCTATCTCCAAGACCCTCAATGCCAATGTATCCAGAAGTTGTATGACCAGCAAACAAAAGTCTCATTTTTATTTGTAATTATAAAAATTGAATCTGCATTTCATTGGCAAGTATAACAGTTTTGAAATAAAGACCAACAAATGTATAGAGAGAGATATTAACTGCAAACCTAAAGTTATCCCAAACTGAATTTATTAACATTCTAACGATATAATCTAAATTACGTATAAATCTAAAAGTGAAAGATGGTAATTTTACACCTAATATACATTAGTAGACAGTTACTTCAGCCTTTGATGCAGTAATACTGCAGGAAGAGAGCAACAGGCATACACACTGGGTGTACAGAATAACCTGTTATTCTCAACTACTAGAAAAAGACAAATATCAGGGAAGAAAGTTAAACAGATAGTTTGGATTACAAACAGAAGTACAGAATAAGTCTAAGCCTTAAAAACCTTATCCACTTTTCACATGATATAAACCAAGAAACAAAAAGTAAAACACAACACTGATTTTTAAAAAGTTCTCTACAAAGATGCCCCAAAAGTTTCTGAGGGTTCAAAGGACATATAGATTATGTTTAAATGAAACCAAATGGAATATAATCAGGAGGAAAGGGAGGACAGCATGGCAGGTATAGGAAAACAAAACAAACATTTAAAAAAGTACAAAAGAGACTTCCGCCAAAATGGAGGCATAGGTGGAGACACCGTGCTTTCTCACACAACCAAGTTTAGAGACAAGAGAATATTAGCAACAGAAAACACAGCCAGAACACAAAAAATTGAACTTTTCGGAAGTCTGATAACAACAAATTCTTCAGGCTGACCGGTAAGAGGGGCGAAGCCAGCAGCTGGTGGAGCGGGGTTGCACAGGAACACTCGGTCAGACGGACTCAGGCGCACGAATCCCAGGCATGGGGTTGCAAGGGGCGGACCCAGTGAGTGATCCAGTGAGCAACCCAGTGAGTGACCGGGGGACTAAGCAAGGGTGCAGGGTGGCGGGTTTACTGTGGTAGAGCATTCGAGCACAGATAGACTGCCAGGGAGTGGGCAGTGAGATGGGACCAAGCAGGACCCAGCGGCGGGAGGCAGCATAGGCGGCCTCCATTTCCCTGTTCTGACCCCGCCCCCACATACAGCATCACAACCCAGCGACCTGAGAGGCCCTGACCTGGTGAACACCTAAGGCTCCACTCCTCATACTTAATGGGTGCGAACAGATCAAAACATTGTGACTCAAGAAGAAGAGCTTAAAGCCCCAGAGCCAATGCTTCTAAGAGATAGCCAACCTATCAGATGCACAGTTCAAAACACTGGTGATCAGGATGCTCACAGAACTGGTTGATTTTAGTCACAAATTAGAGGAACACATGAAGGCTAAACTAATCGAAATGAAGGGAATTGCACAGGAAACCAACAGTGATAGAAAGAAAACTGGGACTCAAATCAAGGGAGTGAACCAGAAGGAAGGAAAAAGTGACCAAACAGGAAAATAGGAAGAAACAAGACTTCAAAAAACTGAGGGGGGACTTAGGAACCTCCAGGACATCTTTAAACGCTCCAACATCTGAATTATAGGAGTACCAGAAGGGGGAAAGGAACAGCCACCAGTGGAAAACTTATTTGAACAAATAATAAAGGAGAATTTCCCTAATCTGGCAAAGGCAATAGACTTCCATGAAATCCAGGAAGCTCAGAGAGTCCCAAAGAAGTTGGACCCAAGAAGGAACACACCAAGGCACATCATCATTACATTAGCCAAGAGTAAAATGAAGGAGAGAATCCTAGAAGCAGCAAGAGATAAGGGGACAGTCACCTACAAAGGAGTTCCCATTAGACTGTCAGCTGATTTCTCAAAAGAGACCTTATAGGCAAGAAGGGGCTGGAAAGAAGTATTCCAAGTCATGAAATCCAAAGACCTACAACCAAGATTACTCTATCCAGCAAAACTCTCATTTACGATGGAAGGACAGATAAAATGCTTCTCAGATAAGATCAAATTCAAGGAGTTCATCATCACCAAGCCCTTATTATATGAAATGTTAAAGGGACTTACCTAAGAAAAAGAAGATAAAAAAGATGAACAGTGAAAGGACAGCAAACTCACAGTTATTAAGAACCACATCTAAAACAAAAGCAAACTAAAAGGACAGCTAGATCAGGAGCGGAAACATAGAAATGAAGATCTCATGGAGAGTTAGCGACAGGGGAGTGGGAGGGGGAGTAGGTACAGAAAATAAGTGGCATAGACAGTAGGTAGAAAATTGATAGGGGGGGCAAGAATAGTATGGGAAATATAGAATCTAAAGAACTTGAGACACATGGTCATAAACTAAAGGGGAGGAAATGGTGGGGGATGCAGGGTGGAGGGGAATGAAGGGGGGGAATAGAACTGTAATGGCATAATCAATAAAATAAAAATTTTTTTTAAAAGTACAAAAGAGTTTTAACTGCATTAGATTGAATCATATGAAACTATTAATATTCAAGAAGTTTTCACTTTGAAAATCACAATTTCAATTTTAAGCTAACAATGACTACTAGGAAGTAGAACACGAAAGGGATCAAGGTGTTTGCAGGCTGCCTGTGGTGCTTATTTGCAAGACTGTCTTTGCAATTCACAAAAAACTGAACCTCTAAAGTAGGGAAGAAACAAATCAAAACACAGAGGCAGTGCCATCAACAGAAACAGAAAGGTCTGGAGGACCTGAGAGAGAGGAATTCAAGTTGGGATTTGAATTTTAATATGGGCCCAGAAACCTGTAAGAAATATCCATGAGACACCAAGAAAAGGATGAACTCAGCAGAACAGCCAGATCAAAGATGACCCAAATTTGGAAATTGCCCATGTACAAAAGAAGGATGAAGGAATAGGAACTTATAGAACCTTGGGAACAACCTACATCTAGAGACAAGGGAAAATTAGGAGTGAAGGAATTTAAATGGAAGGAAAGGGAAGAGAACATTTTAAGGAGGAATTGTAAACAGTGACAAATGCTACAGGCAGGCTGAAGATGGTGAAGTTGGAGAAAATACCACTACATCTGGTGAACTGGTTATTCTGAGCTTTGGGGAAACCTGTACCAGAAGACCTGTAAGGAGATCAAAGTGGTAGAAGAAAGTAACCTCTATGTGTAGCATCTTTTTTTTAAAGACTTTATTTATTTTTAGAGAAGGGGAAGGGAGGGAGAAAGAGAGGGAGAGAAACATCAGTGTGTGGTTGTCTTTCACACACACCCCACACTGGGGACCTGGCCTACAACCCAGGCATGTGCCCTAGACTGGGAATTGAACCAGCAACCCTTTGATTTGAAGGCTAGAACTCACTCTGCTGAGCCACATTAGCCTCGGCTATGTTTAGCTTCTAAATGTAGGCTATTCCTAATATTCTCTCCGTTCCTGTTTTCAAAATGGGAGGGATTTTGAGTGAGAAGCTCTGAAACATAAGTTGATGTTGGCCCTGGAGAACTTACTCTTTGAACTCTGGTTTCTGGAAATGTACAACACACATAATAATCATCTCAAAGAATTGATATAGTCAAATCAACGACTGTATTAACAAGAACATCAACTGGTTCTTAATTAGATATAATTTATTTTTTCATGTGTAGAACTAAAAAGAAAAGATGGGAGTGGCAACTCAAAAACTGGCAGGGGTGAAGGAATGGCCTTTTGGATCTATGACACCTTTCATTGCAGAAACAGGATCAGAGCTAGAAGAAAACAGAAGGATAAAGCAGCACGTGAGAAGGATGTATGAATAGGGGGATTAAGATGCAGGTTAGATTAACTCAAGAAGAAGAGAAAGAATATAAAGAAACAAGTTCAGAAATGACTGAAGGAAGCAGGGAGCTCACTTAAGGATAAGAGAAAGTTTAGAACGGCTGCTACGAAAAACACAAAAGGAGGTCAAAAAGAGTAGAATTTGGATGCTTCTGATAGCATCATCACTGTTACATACACCCAGATTATGATGAATTTAAGTAGAACAGCACTCAATAGCACATTTCCTTTTAACGAGAGGAACCCAATATACGTAGGAGTGAAGATGAATACTATTTTAGAAAGTCAAGTGTGACTTAACCATCTTCCATCCATGGCCTCACCTGGACCTTCCAATCTACTGCCAGAGAGTAATCCTGCCCCTTGTCTCTTACACCACAGATGAGACAGAGGAAGATGATGCCTCTGGTGGATGCTATGTATTTATTCCTGTCATTTCTGTCAGCTTCAAGTACTTGTGAATTTTGTAAATAAATTAATATGTACAAATGAACTCAAGGAGTACTGAGTAAGCTAAGCATTGTATTATAAGCTTCACGATTCAATGTCTTGGGGTAAAGAGTTTCTCCATGACTTAAGCAAAAGAGCTAGATGACTTCTTAGGGTGTGCCAACTCTGACATCAGCACTATTTGGACAATGAGTCATTTACCTTCCTGTTCCTCTTCACTGTCACTTTCTAGAAATCGGGAGTCCATTCGAAATCTATCATCAGGGCCAAAGTGAGACTGCAAATCCATGAGCTATGAAGACAAAATACACAATTGATAGCCATATTCTCAAGAAATTGCTTCTCAGGAAGACCCTCCAAGTGCACTCCCTGCACCCTGAAATTCCAGTTATTGTTTGTATAACCTCACCCACCCACAAAGCAGTCAGAACAAGTAGTTGAGAATTTACTGTCAAAAAAACTTTTAAATGCAGGAGTGAAGATCAAGGTCTTCCTGAACTTACCTCGATTTAAGGACTATGTTGAAAAATAAGGACATGTTGCAAGTTCTATTATTTTCAAACTTTACTAACCTTCTTTCCAGCTCTACCCTCAAACTGAGGTTTAATTCTGAATCTACTACTGTCATCTTCAGAATCATATTCCTTCTCATCACTGTCAAATAGCTTCCCAGATGCTCTATTCAAGAATTCCTGTTATGCAGATGAAGACAGAAGCATTTATTAAAAACCGAGGCAATCAGTGTTTTTATTATGTAATCTTGCCTCTCACATTTAAGAACCCACAACCCAGATGCATCTCCCAGGAAAGGGCAAATGGTGGTTAGAATGGAAACTCTTGACTCAGTGTTACTTGGTCTTTCGGGCCACTAGTGCAGAGATGCCTGGTGCAGCCTGGCCTGAGGGGGTGTGAGGAAAAAGGGGAGAGCTGTTATATGAGTGAACAGTTTCAACAGGATTTCACTAATATTGATGTCACTGTGTAGATGACATGAAGGCGAGGCTCATGTGAGAATCTCCAAGGTCCCTGCAGTCTGTATGTGGTGGACTGGGGGGGCTTGAGTTTCACTGTGGCTCCCAGTGGATTTTATACTGAGCCTGGCATTATATGGAGGTCTTGGTATGCAAATGACAGAAATGGATCTGCAGAAATAGAGGAATACCCACACAAGACACCCTGAACTTCTTACTTTTGCTGGTTTCTCTATCAGACAGCTTTGCTCCCAAGTGGACATCTCTGTCTCACTTCCACTGTCAGAACCAAAGATGATGTGCGTTGGCTTGTCCTCTGGATGATCGTCCTAGAGCAGTCATCAAAGGCATCACATCTTAAGACAACCCCTTGTCTCCATTCCTTCTCTAGTCTACTTCCCATTCTTTTTTATCTAGTGAACACCATTAATCACTTATTTTCCCAAGACAGTAACTTATGAGTTCTCTTTCTCTCCATATCCAGTTGATCACCTAGTCCCACCAACTGGACTTTCTTGATCTTTTAAATCTTTTCCCACTGTTAGTGCCTTGGCTCACAACTTCCCAAAAGCTGTCCCTGGTTCCAGATTTGTCTCATTCAATTTGTTGTTCATCATGGCCTAAACGGAATTTGGCACACTTTTTCTGTAAAGAGCCAGAGAGTAACTATTTTAGGCTTTGTGGTCTCCATCCTATAATTCCTTATTTTATCTATCTATCTATCTATCTATCTATCTATCTATCTATCTATCTATCTTTAGAGGGGAAGGGAAGAAGAGAGGAAGAGATATATCAATGTATGGTTGCCTCTCATGTGTCCCCTGATAGGAACCTGCAACCCAGGCGTGTGCCCCGACTGAGAATCGAACCACAATCCTTTGATTCGCAGGCCCACGCTCGATCCACTGAGCTACACCAGCCAGGGCCTATAATTCCTTTTTAAAAAAATGCCTTAAAAATGTAAAAAACATTCTTAACTTCGAGGCTCTACCAACATAGACTATGGGCTACATGGCCTGTGAGCTGCAGTTTGTCAACTCCTGTTCTAATATATACACAACTGATCTTCATTCCTTTGCTTAAAGTTCTTCAGTTTTTTCACAGCCTTAAGAATAAAGCCCAGCCTCCGTAGCCTCGTCACAACCCGTATTTATTTCTCTAGACTCATTTCTTCCACCTCATACTCTATACATTTCAGTCATACTGACTGCAGATGTTCCCTTATGTATAACTTGCTCCCTCTTCAGAAATACCTTTCTTTTCCCTTGCTACTCTTTCACCTCTGCCTAACCAGTTTATACTGATCTTCTTACTAGACTCGGTTCAGGCTGAAGAAACCCCCTACCCACCATCATCTGGACCAACTTGGTGCCTCCTAGGCACTTCCAGAACATACAGGCACACTTCTCACTTAGTCTGTGGAACTCAACTGCCCTCTGCTCACCACACTATGAGCTAATGACCACCCGAGACAGGGACCATGATTCTTGAACTCTTCTATAAATGTAATACTTACAGTGAAGACCTAAAACTTCATAGGGACTTAACAGTTGTTAAAGAATAAAGGCTCATTATAGTAAATCTTGGCAAGTTATAAATTACTTGGAAGGTGATTTACATCCCAAGTAACTGGGAAGTAAATTACTTGGGAAGTAATTTCAGACATATCAGGACACATAACTATACCAGTTCTATTTTCTAAAATAGAGTGAACCATGAAAAAAACTAGAAAAAAACAAATAAAAAATGTTTTCCTAATAGTTTAATCTCACTTCTGTCAAGATATATTAAAAATATATGGTGATAAAAATTTCTAACTCATGGACATAAAACATGAAACTGCTGGGTGCTAACATACTGACCTCTTAAGGGGCATAACTACCTTCATGGAAAGCAAAGGATACAATTTTAGAGTTCTTGTTAAACCAGAAACTGAAAATATACTCACCAAATTTGCCAGGGCATTATGAACCAGCTTCTTTTGTAATTCTTTTGCTTTCTTCCTTGCCTCTAAGGCTGCCAAACGTTTCTGATTATCTTCAGCTTGCTTGTCCTTAGCATTAATGTCTGATGAACCCCCAATAGAAAGTGGGAAGTCAGTTTCACTTCCCTGAGTGTCCATCCTGGAGGAAACCTCTGGAGATTTCTCAAGGACCACATGGCTGCTCTGGTCAGGCCCCTTTTCAGATCCCTCTCCTGTTGTTGTGGGCCTGTGGCAACAGTCTTCCTCAAAGCCTCTCCTGGGAGTCTCTGCACCAAGACTTGCAGATTTCTTATCTTTTAATGTCAACAGACTACAACTAGGAATTATACTTCCCTTATCTAAACTGCTGGGGGACACCACTTTGTAATTTTGGCTCTTAAAAATGAACTGTCTCTTTTGAGGCTGAATATGGTTTGGATCATCTGCTTTCTTTGCACATTGAAAAGGAGTTAGTTTTCCCAATGGGATATTTTCCAGGGACATGCTAATGGGATCCTGAAGTTTCGAGGAAGTTTGATTTTTATTAATATTGCCAGAGGCAACATTCTCTTTCATAGATTTTTTCACCAATTCCTTCCCATAGAGACAACCTGTTCCCTTGAATGGCTGGAATTTTAGCTTTAAGTTGTTTTCATTTGATTTCTGTTTTCCAGGGGCATTCTCTTCTCCTTCTAAAAGGGAAGCCACAATCGCTTCAGGATAAATACAGTGTTTACTTCTATGGAGGCTACCAGAAGTCCTGTGGCTTTCAGAGGCTCTGTCAGACTTGGAGCTGGTTTCCCAGCCCTCACTCTTAGTATCTTCTTTTGAAGCCTTCAGGTCACTGCCAGCCAACTGTCCCAAGTCAGCTAAAGTAAAAGTCACATGGAGAGAGTTTTTCATCATGGTGTTATACTCATCTTCCTCAAAGTTCACTGATTCTGACACAGAATCAGCATCCTCACTGCTAATGGACTTGGACAGAGATTTACAACTAAGATGTTTAACTCTGTTGTTGATAGCTAGTTCTACGTTGTTTTCTCTTTTTTGTACTTTAATATAATGATCAGAAAGCTCACAGTTTTTTTTATCTTTCAAAGAAGTTTTCTTATACATAGACTTTTCCATTTGTGAAAATTCCATATTATTTTTGATTTTACCGACTTTTTTTTTTATTGCAACATCATCTGTATCTCCTGAATCATAGTCACAATTATTACCCACAACATTATCTTCACTATCAAGGCAAGAAACATTATTTTTGATGACTAAATCTGTTAAAGACCGTTTGTGAACATCTGATTTGAAATCATTTCTTACAACTTCAAAGGGATCATTTTCAGATTCATTTACTGAGGAACATGAAGTTCTCCCAAAGTTTTCTTCTCTTGCAATCATTAGTCTTAATCCACCTTCAAATTTGATACCATCATTAGATAAGCTATTTTTGTTTCTTTTAAGTTTTTGACTATCAGAATCAGGTACACGGTGTGATTTAGGAGTAATGGGATCACTGTGTATTTCTTGAGCAGTCTGTTGCAGTATTAAGTGTGGATTCTTCATTATTACTCTACAGTGTCTTGATCTCATAGCCAGAGATGCAGAGGGGCTCTCATCCTTCTGCACTTTTATTATCTTGTTGGGAGGGCAGTGAAAATCAGAAAATTTCCCTTGTCGTTTCTTACTCGTAGGATTATTCCCTCCTTCCAACTCCCAAGTGAGACTGGATATAGGAATGGCATTTGTGAAATCCTCCCCTATTTTTTTTAAGTTGTGGCAGTATTTTGATGGATCATACTTTATAATGTTTCCAAAAGTCAAGGAACAAAACAGAGGCTCTAGGTTTTAGGAAAACTTGTCAATCTGGTGGAACAAAAGGAATACTTTTTCATCTTACTCTCAGTTTCCTATCCCAACAAAATGAGGACTTCACTAGGTGACTTTATGTTCTCTGGAATTAAACATTTTATCTAGAGTTAAAACAAAGCATCATCACTAATAACTGGAAAAAATTACTTGGGAGGTAAAATTAAACACCATCACTATTAATCAGCAGAATATCTACTTGAATGTAGACATTATAGCAAACTAATTCAGATTATATTCTAGATGCAGAGACCCCAAAACTGTTCTCTGTAAATTTGAGAAATTTACCCACTGAGCTGTTGCCATAAAGCAAAGTATAGAGGGGCACCCAAAGGGACACAGCTAGACACTGCATGACCTTGGGTCTCAACTTTTGCAGGGTATTTCTGCCTTCTTCATACTGGCTTGTCCTAGCTCTGATTCTCCTCCATCAATAACATCCATTTTACATCTACTCACTCTCTGTGGAGTGTTTTATAAGTTTTTATTAGAAAGGTAATAATTCTTTATTAGAACATGTTTTTGTTGCTAATGTTATCCAGAAAGATTCTAGTTAATGTCAATGTGCTATGATGACTGTTGACATTTGCTGATTTCTTAAAACATATGAACAGGCAATAATAAATTGCTTTAAGTTATCACTCTGAAAAAGTGTCCATGGTCTCTCAGCTTCCCACTTTCTTTCAATATTCCCTTCTTTGCTCTTAGTGGCTGCCATTGGTAGGAAGCCAGAAGGCAAAGAGAAAGAAAAGAGTCACTATTTCCCTGATTTTTGTGCCATTGGCAGGGAGGAAAACAGCAGTAGCTGTGGCTTCAGTGACCTCAGTGGCACATTAGCCATAAGCACTGAGGGCACACCTTTCTCCTTCTTTAACTCCAGAAGGTAGCTGTTTGCTTGGGTTACTGATCTCTGGGCAGCCTGATATTCAGCTTGCAGATCCTCCAGGATATTTAAAACACACTGGATATATTACATCCTCTCTGTTTGAAATAGGTGGAATTGCTTCTGCTTCCCTGACACATACTATAAAAGCTAAAGAATACACAAGTTATACCGTCTGCCCAGAAGTTCATAACATTAGCAATTTGAGGTCTTAAAACAATCTGACTGCATTTCCTCAAGGGAACAGGCATCTGCATTTGCTGATTCTGGGTTCTATACTATTTCTCTATCCACCATTCTCATACTTGTCTACATATTTTAATTTACTATTTTCCTCTCTCCTGTACTCTTTCCTATTATTTTTCTAGTAATATGAAACCTACTCCACTATCTCTGAAGCTTTATTTAACAACAACCCTATGTTCCTTTGCCCTATTTTACCTTTTTTCACATGCCTTTGAACCCATGCCAAAGAGAGGAAGAGTTTATAAATTAGTACCTGAAAAGGCTTCTTTGACAATCACCATTTATATCACATAGTTGTATAAAAACTCATTACATTCTCTAATTGTTCTTAATTGTTTTATTCTTTTAGGTAGTAAGGTCTCACCTTGGCTAGAAGTTCGGAACAAAAACCCCCTAAATACACATTTAGAGATTTCCTGACAGGCAGAAAAATTCTAAACGTAGGATATAAACTTTTACAATTAGCCAAAACTGTACTAAATAATAATTACTCTGAAAACCCAATTGCAAAGGATATTTTACGTTTATGCTGATTCTTTAGGTGAAGAATGGGTAAGACTCTTCCAAATTTACTCACAACCCAATTCTAAAAAAAAAAAAAAAAAAAAGTATTTACTATATATGTTACAAATGAAAAAGATTAACCACTTTTTATAAATACAACTTTAAAAAATTGAACTCACAATCAGTCATGATTACTGTTGGCTTTTAGTTTTCTGATAACAAAACATGAGTTCTCAAAAAAACATATGAAGAAAAAGAAAGAAGGAAAATTGGGGTAACTATCGATCTCATATAAACCATGTAGGATGCTTCACAAAAAACACCAGTTGTTAATGACACCAGCAGCATGGCAGCATGAGAAGACCTCCCCTTAAAGTTATAACAAGTTGGACAGCCACAATTCAACAAAGGACTTAAGACACAAACACCTCAGAGGGATCTATGCATTGAGACATCTGAAGGTAGGCACATCAGAATGAGCAGGGGAAGAGGGAAGAGGGGTTGGGGACAGAGACAGAAGTGGCAGATGCAGTCTGGTGCTCATTGTGGACAAAACGGACACAACAGCAAGGAAGGGGTAGGTTTCCACTGTGACACCACAAGTGGAAAGAATAGAGGGGCAGAGGCAGTGATTGGCTCTGGGTAGCAGGTACACACTGAGGCTGTGCCCAGGGTCACAGCAGAGAAGCAGTGCAAAGGGTTGTAGCATTCCACAAGCTGCTAACAACCAGAAAAAGAAAGCAGCAGTCATGGGAATCCCTCCCCAACAATCCCGTGGCCTGCCCAGCATTAAAACCCCCCATGAACTTGGCAGATCATGAAAAGGCAAAAGCAATTTTCAAAAACTAAAAGGTCTGTATACATTATAACCTAACCCAATGGAAAGAAAAGTCTGAGACATGTGAAGCCTCTTCTGTTCACCCACCCCTCACCCATCTATCATGGCAGAGCCTGGTATAGGCTGAGACAGCAGATATAGCAGTGCAGCTGACGGCTTATGATTGCAGGAGAGTGGCACTGAAAGGCACAGACCAGCAGAGCTACAGACTGCTATATATCACCATGGGAGTGGTGTCCTGAGACTGAGGAGACTGGGTTGTAAAAAGGATGCCTACCTCCTTGTAGGATATGGGGTGATTTCCCTAACTGAGGGGCCACCAAGCCACAGAGATCAAGAAAGTCCCAGTAGTACAGGTAAGAGACTTGTGTTTCAAAAGTCTCTTGTGCTTCGGCACAACCTACTGGTAAAGAAAAAAAAACCCTTCACTCACCAACATGCGAAACCAGTGATTTTTCAACTACTGTGCTGCAAGAATTTTAAAAACATGCAATACTTGACTATTTAGTCAGAGGCCCTGACCTCTTTTCCCATAGACTGTCAAAAAAATAAATAAATAACAGTAAAACAACAACAGCTGTCCCACATGAATGCCCCAAAGTTTCATCTTATTGGGCATTGTTGCAATAATAAAGTTACATTATATTGGTTAATTCTTGGTACTAGATATCCTTATCTTCAAGTATAGGCACCTGATTTTCTTTTTAAGATTTTCTTTATTTATTTTTAGACAGATGGAGAAACACTCAGTTGCCTCTTGCACATCCCCAACTGGCCACCTGGCCTTCAACCCAGGCATGTGCCCTGACCGGATATAGAACCAGAGATGTTTTGGTTTTGCAGGCTCCTGCTCAGCCCACTGAGCCACATGATCCAGGGTGGCACCAGATTTTTTTTTTTAATCTTCACCTGAGGATATGTTTTTATTGATTTTAGAGAGAAAGTAAGGAGGAGAGAGAGGAAAAGAAACATCGACGGGTTGCCTCTCATACTTGTTCTGACTGGGGATCAACCCGAAAGCTAGGTGTGTGCACTGACCAGGAATTGAATCTGCAACTTTTTTGGTGCACAAGACAATACTCCAACCAACTGAGAAACCCAGCCAAGGCCAGGCACGTGATTTAAAAAGTCACATTGGAGCAAAAACTGTAGGTAATTACCATTATTTTTGTTGTAAACCAAAATCATACATATTTTTTTCCTCAAATCAGCAAAAAATGTATTTTTTGGTGTGCCAGAGAATTTAAGTAATTATTTATGTGTGCCATGACACAGAAATGGTTACAAGCCACTGTGCTGAACAATAAAGAGTCAATACTTAAAAAAGAGAGGGATTAAATTTCCACAAATGTTCAGGAAGAGAAATAATGCATCATGCAAAATGAATAACCAAGGAGATAAGAAAATTCAGAAAGAAAATGAAAAATATATAGAAAATATACTTAAAGACAAGGAAGACAGTGATTAAAATGACAGAATTCAAGGTTACAGTACTGAAAAAATTCAACAAGATACAAGAAATTTCAAAAAATTAGTTCGACAAGTTCAGGAATAGAAATCAATGAACAAAGTGAGTACTTTACTAAAAAATTGAAACTTTCAATGAAAACCAAACAAATTCTGGCTGAAGAGTTCAATAAAAGAGATGAAGAATGAATTAGTAACACTGAAGATAGAGATCTAGAAATGACTCAGGTGGAAGAAGAGATTGAACAGTAAAAAAATTTAAAGATTTACCCTGGCTGGTGTGGCTCAGTGGATTGAGTGTCAGCCTGCAAACCAAAGGGTCACCAGTTTGATTCCAGGTCAGGGCACATGACTGGGTTGCAGGCCAGATCCCCATTAGGGAGTGTGTGACAGGCAACTACACATTGATGTTTCTCTCCCTCTCTTTCTCCCTCCCTTCCCCTTTTCCTAAAAATAAATAAAATCTTAAAAAGATTTAAAGAACTCCACAAAAAAATCTAATTCCATTAGAGAGAGCAATGTAAGAACAATGGACAGACCAGAAGAAAGGGAAAAGGAAACAATCAGCTTATTCAAAAGAAAAACCAACAAGAACTTCCTATACCTATGGGAAAAACTGGACATTCAATCTAAGAAGCTTACACACCACCTAACTTTCTGAAACCAAAAAGGCCTTCTTGAATGCACATGACGGCAGACAAAAATTTGTTAAAAAAGAAACAAAGCTTAAGGTTGCCAGGGTAAAGATACTAAGTCTTTATGAAATAAACTCTATTAGGTTATCATCTAATTTTTCAGCAAAAACTCTATAAACTTGGAGAGAGTGGTATCTAATATTCAAAATATGTAAAGAGAAACATCACTATGCAAGATTAATATATCTAGCAAAGTTATCCTTTACATATAAAAAAGAAATAGGCATTCTTCCAGACAAACAGAAGCTGAAGGAATTTCCCATAAGACCAGCATTACAAGAAATGGTGAAAGGTGCTCTTCTACCCGAAACAAAGACAAATAAAACTGAGTAAGATGATTAACAGAGAGAAGCAAAACATTTCAATTCTTGTTCAGAATAGGGTATTAAACATTTAAATGTCAGAAAAGTTAAAGGAGGTAAAATCATGTAAAAATAAATAAGATAAATAGGTACCGAAATGGGAAATGGACACACAGCATAAAAGATAATCTGTGACAAAAGAAACATAAGAGGGGATGGGGGAAGGACTGATCTTGCACAGGTAAACTGAGATGAGGTACAATCACAGAAAAAAAAAAAACTGTTGTATAATCAAACTTTTTCTTTTGTATAACCTAATAGTAACCACCCCAAAACAAAAATCTACAACTGAGACAAATAACATAAGAAAAAGGAAACAGCCTTGACTGGTGTACCTCAGTTGGTTGGAGTGTCATCCCATATACCAAAAGGCTGGGGATTCAATCTCAGGTTGGGGCGTATATGGGACGCAACCAACTGATGTTTCTGTTTCTTTCTCTCTTTCCCCCAAACTCCCCCTCTCTCTCTAAAATCAATAAACATTTTTAAAATAAGAAAACAAAGGAAAAAATCATAAAATACCATCAAACTAAAATAACAGACAGAAACACAAGGGAGAAAATTAGCAAAGACAAAAAAAACAACCCCACAAAAAAACCCAAAAGAGAAAATGGCCATTGCTACCTTTAAGAGACATACCTCAGCTACAAAGACAAAGATGGTGAAGAGGTAAAATATGATATTCCAAGCAAGTTGCATACCCAGAAGAGTTGGTGTAGCCATACTTAAAACAGACAAAATAGACTTCAAAATTAAAAAAGGTAACAAGAGACAATGAGAGACATTTTATAATGATAAAAGAGGCAATACATCAAGAAGACATAACACCGGGACTTCTGGCCAAGATGGAGACGTAGGTAGACACACTGCGACTCCTTGCACAACCAAAATAAGGACAATAACAATTTAGAAACAAAATAACAACCAGAACTGACAGAAAATCGAATTGTATGGAAGTCCAACAACCAAGGAGTTAAAATAGACACATTCATCCAGACTGGTAGGAGAGACAGGGTCGGGTGGCCAGGTGGAGAGGGATCGAGGCAAAAAAAAGTGGTGGTACTGGGTGCACAAAGCAACAGCTGACAAACCCCTGGTATGCAAGACGGCAATATGTGGACCCTGGGCGAGCAGGCAGCAGTTGGCAGACCCCGGGCAAGGGGTGGCAACGAGAAGACCCAGTGAGGCTGCGATTGTGAAGGGGGGAATGGTGCCAGGTGGCTGGCTGCAAACACCATTGTTCCCTCTAGAACCCACCCCCACATACAGCATCACAACCCAGTAACTGGGTTGCCCCACCCTGGTGAACACCTAAGGCTCTGCTCCTCATACATAACAGGCGGGACAAGACCAAAAAATAAAAAATGGCCCAAATGGAAGAATAGATCAAAGCTCCACAGCAAATACAACTAAGTGACCAAGAGACAGCCAACCTCTCAGATGCACAGTTCAAAGCACTGGTGATCAGGATGCTCACAGAATTGGTTGAATTTTGTCACAAATTAGATGAAAAAACAAAGGTTATGCTAAGTGAAATAAAGGGCAATGTACAAGGAACCAATAGTGATGGGAAGGAAACTGGGACTCGAATCAATGGAGGGGAACAGAAAAAAGAAAGAAACAAACAGAAAAGAATGAAGAAACAAGAATTCAAAAAAATGAGGAGAGGCTTAGGAACCTCCAGGACATCTTTAAATGTTCCAACATCTGAATTATAAGG